ATTGTTGTTGGTCCCGGGACGTTGAGATAAGCTGGCTCATGACTTCCCACCTAAACCTCCGGCCCCCGGAGTTTTTGGTCTTAACTAAGTTAAAAGCTAAATAATACTAGGCGGAGGGTCGACACCTTCCCCCTGGTACAGCAAAGGCCATTAAGGCCAGTAACTCGGGCATACGCCAGGAGCGGAGGGTTCGTCGCTGAAACGTTTGCTGATCATGGTGGTCTTATGCCTTTGACAGGCCCACCCAGGAGCGCCATAAAAACGTCTATCTAACATTCGCCCAAATACTACACAGTGACGGAGCGTAGAAAAAGTACCTATTAACGACTGGCAGGCGTCAGTTACCTTAATCCTACTCGTTTTTCACCGCCTCGACCTTGCCAGTTGATTTTCTGGTCTGTTTAGGGCTAAGTAAAAATTCACTATTTTCAGGCCATCAGTCAAACGACTTTTGATCAGCTTTCGTTTACATGCGAACACAACCACGTATCTGGGTCTCGGATTCCCAGACTATATGATTGCTATTAAAAACACGGCTGGTATATCCTATTTTACTATGTTTTTGATGACAGTTCTATTTTAAATCCAATGGAGATGGATTGACCCTTTCCTCTTTCTAGCTACTCATATTCTAAAATAACAAATAATACCGGCGTTAATTCAAAAGTTTATGACATCAGAGTAGCTAAAAAGTCAGTTTATCACAGTCCTTCACCATATATTGTCTCTGGGGGCCGAGCCTCCGATTCCGTGCCTTTTCAGTAATAACGTCGTTATTATTTCTGATTCGTGGCACGGGAGAGTACTGCTTCTTCCTTCTTCCCCACTGAAGCCTCCTTTCAGTCTCTTGTCTCCAATTAGTTGTCTTATTGTGCGCGATCGTCACGATAAGAGGCTTCGTTTTTTATATCGTTCTCGTCCGACTACCTCTCACTAATTCGGTTGTTGTTGTGTTTTTCTCTAATTTCCAGCTAAACATGGCCGTTTTCGCATTTCTCAGAAATGTAACGTCGCAATTCGAATTTTCGAAAATTAAAAAATTCCCGAATATTCTAGCCTCGTTTTCATCCATACACAATCACTAAGGCCTCTAACGTCTTTTTTATTCTGCGACGGAAGGTTTCGCTGTGCCAATCCGGGGGAATGGCACACAGATGAAATCTGAGGGCACGGAAAAGAAATTTTAATAAAAATTAATTGTTGCTTGTTTATGGTATCTACAATATAAATCAAAATGCTGCATGATAGTTTTATGAATGGGTAAGACAAAAGACATTTTAATCATTAGCTTACAAGGCGGAAATTTTGCATGGTTGTGAATTTTGGGGTGTAGATAAAGTTAAATCTGCTGCAAACTTCTGTAAATGACAACTGGCGCTGTATCTTGAGACGCACTCAATTTTCTGGGGGCTCACTGACAGACAACGACACGCTATGAGGACATCGATCTTGAATCCGGGGAGTATGTGCCATATGATCATATTTGGAAGTTTGACCTTGAGAAAACGTTCAGTCTTGATTTTGGAGTGAAATGCAATTTTTCAAAATTTCGAATTGAGCATGTCCTGCTCAAGTTTTTCGCGACAACTGAAAATACCAGAAAAATAACATCAGAAGATTCGAACTACAATGGCGGGAAAGTAGTCAAAAATAGCAGCGGGAAATTGCTATTCGCAATTTGCAATCCATAATTCGAACGAGAGTAGAGCTTTCTTATCCTTGGCAGAAGACGGAAAGTGATCGCGAATGGAGGAGAAGTAAATTAGAGTGGACCAGAGTGAACCTTCGGTGGAAAGGTGGACAGCTGAAGCTGCCCAATGGTCCAGACCAAAAACTTGTTTCTTGAGTTAAAACTTGCTTATTTCAAACTTCTGGAGTTAAACTTAATTACCCAATCAATTCTAGAGTTGCTTTATAGTTTAGTTACTCAATTCCAGAGGTCGTGCTTATCGACCTTATCGACCTAAATACAGGCGCGCTTATCCGCAAATGCGCACTCAACAGCACTGGAGGCGCGGGACCAAGCGGCCTAAGTTCAACAGGCGCCAAACGTATGCTTTGCTCCGATAGTTTTGGTAAATTAACCGACGACGTCTGCCACGCTCTCGCTGATCTTACCAGAATTCTTGCCACAGAGCAACTACCCGCTTCAGTGATGCAGCCCATAGCAAACTGCCGCATGGTTGGCCTGGACAAATCACCTGGCGTCCGCCCTATTGGAATCGGAGAAATTTTTAGAAGAATAATCACGTCCGCTCTTATCCAGTGCTTTCAAGATGAAGTTAGGGAGATTGTTGGCCCCCTCCAAACTTGCGCAGGTGTTAGCGCCGGGATTGAATCTGCTTTCCGATCCATGCAGAAGACCTTCAACGCCGACGAGTGCCAAGCAGCCCTGTTCATTGACGCAGAAAACGCGTTCAATAGACTGAACCGCGGTACGGCTCTCCATAACATCGAAATTCTATGCCCCCAGCTCCACCCCTTCCTCAATAACTTCTACAAACAGCCAGCTATCTTGTTCGTAGGAGGGAAGTCCATCCTGTCATCCGAAGGCACCACTCAAGGAGACGTGGCAGCAATGATCATGTACGCCATCAGCATGATCCCCCTTGTCTATGATAAAACCGTCACCGACATTCACAAGAGCTTTTACGCCGATGACGGAGCTGGTGCAGGGAAACTTATCCGTGTCAAAGAATGGTGGGAACTCATGAAATTTCGAGGCCCGAATTACGGTTACTTCCCGGAGCCCTCCAAAACAGTACTCGTTGTCAAACCACAACACCTCGATGAAGCAGAAGCACTGTTCAAAAGTGACGGGTTGATTATTCGCACTTCGGGAAAGAAGTACTTAGGTGGTGTCATCGGCTCAACAGCTTTCTGCTCTGACTTCATCTTGCAAAAAACAGAGAAGTTCACAAGCATGGTGGAAAAGCTGACTGAAATAGCAGAGCAAGAACCGCAAGCCGCGTACGCTGGCCTTGTTTTCAGCCTGCAAAGCAAATGGTCGTACCTTCAGCGCATCATGGAAACTCCCGCGGAAGCATGGCATAACCTCTCAAGCTCTATCAACAACTTGCTCGAAACCATATTTGGTTGCAAACTGGATCCCACGTCGCTCGAACTTGCGCAGTTACCAGCCAGGTTGGGCGGCCTGAGCATTCGCGACCCAATTAGACAGAGTGCTCCAATGAACCGGGCTTCAGAATTCATTTGCGAACCACACGTGGACCTAATATGTACGCAATCTGAAAATTTTCCCTCTGGTTTCGAATCCGATCAGAAATCTAGAAGGGCTTATATTCGGAAACAAAACACCGAGACGCAAACAGAACTCCTGCAAACTATCCGGCCGAAGCTATCTGAGCGCCAAGACAGACTTCTAGAACATACGAGACGGAAAGGCACCTCAGCGTGGTTAACTACCCTCCCTATCAAAGAGTTAGGGTATGCTCTCAACAAAATGGAATTTCAAGACCTCCTCCGCCTCCGATACGGTATCAGTCTTGATAACCTTCCCATTGCCTGCGTCTGTGGGAAACCTTACGACATCACCCACGCCCTTAATTGCACCACTGGTGGTTTTATTCATAAAAGACACAACGACTTGCGTGACCAGCTGGCGAACATCATACGCGAAACCTGTTTTGACGTCTCCATTGAACCGAGTCTCCAACCAGTTGTCCAAACTAACTCCAACCGTGCCGAAGATGGAGCAAGATTGGATATAGCAGCAAGGGGTTTCTGGCGGACCGGTCAACGCACTCTTTTCGACGTCCGAATTTTCAATCCCGGAGCCACCACCAATATCAACCGGAAAATTTCTGAAACCTTCAAACATAATGAACAAGAGAAAATCAATAACTACCAGGAACGAATTTTGAACTCGGAGCACGCAAGTTTCACCCCCATTATCTATTCAACCAGTGGTGACTGCAGCAACCTGACTTCAACATTTATTTCCCAGCTAGCTCTCCTGACCTCTGAGAAGCGCGGAACCCACTATTCTGAAACTATTTCGTGGCTACGAACCCGTGTAAACTTTTGCATTATGAGAGGTGCCCTTCTTTGCATTAGAGGATCCCGCAAAATGAGAAGCCAGACCTGCTACAACCAAGATATTTCCATCAATAATTCCCTATCACGACGCGACTAACCTTTCCTTTATTCTCTTCGCCCGGTTGCTGTTTTTCACTGAACTGTTATTCTTAACTGTAATTTGGTGCTATTTTTTCAAAGCTGATTTATAATACTTGTATATTGTACATATTTGTAGTTTTTAAAAAAAATTTGTTGCATATATCACTCAACTTATTTGGATGATTATTTATGGAAAGTAAGGTATTTGCAGTGCTTCTTTTTACAAAGTTCTTTATTTGGTACTCAATAGTGAATTCAATATGACTTATTCCTTAAAAAATTCCAGAGGTCGTGTCGGTTTGTGAGTACCTAAATTATTTTTTTTGAGTGTTTTATATTATTTTGTTGAGTTAGGGAGAGTTTTTAGGTTGATCCATCTGAAATGGATCAAAGGTCCATTGTCTAATAAAAAGTAACTATACATAAGGTTCGGACCCTGTTTTTAATGGCGTTCGTGTGTTTTGGGTATTTCGAGACCTAAGCATGGGGGCGTTCTTATTCTCTAGAGTGTGGGGGGGGGGGGGTATTTTGGTAGTGGCCTTTAAGCTGTAACGCAGGTTTTAGTCTCATGTCGCAAGTGAACCGAATTGGCTCCGACCCGCTTGAGGTAGAAAAACAGAAGAGACTGTGTCCCTGACTCTTGAGCCAATGGTTATAGGGCCTATTTTTTCTTTAACCTCGTATGCGACTTATGTGGGCGACTGTTACATTACCTATGTGTAAAAATGTTAATCATGTAAGATTCAGTTAATCATGAAATTCAATTAACTTTGACGTGATGTAGAGTTCTTGAATTTCAGAGTTTTGACCTGATTTGTTTTTTTCGAAAACTTATTGACTTTTTGATTGTTTTCAGGATTATGACCAATGACTAATAGAGCGTCAAAGAAAGACGCTGGAAGCACAACACGTACTTGTGTGGCTACGCGTGAACAATGGTCGTTGGGCAAGCTAGTATCACTTACTATGGAAAATTTCCTGACTTACCAGCAGTGCACAGTTATGTTTGACCCTTGTTTAAATGTCATTATGGGCCCCAATGGAACTGGGAAAAGCTCTATTGTATGTGGAATTTGCCTGGCTCTTAATGGAAAAGCGACCCTTCTTGGAAGAGCCAAAGACGATAGAGAATATATTGCATACGGATGGGATGTTGCAAAGTTGAGAATTGAACTGTACAATCCAGCTGGTCCAGCTTTTACGATAGAGCGAACAATTAACCGGTAAGTTAAACAGCTATTTTGATGGCATTATAGATTTAAAGCGGCCCATGTTTGTGGAGAATAGGTTTCAAAAGTGATATTGTAGGATTTTAGCTTGAGTGTATCGTTTCAGTACTGGGTCAGTGAAAAACAAGTGGATTGTGAATGGGGAAACCTCAACCGCTTCTCATGTTGATCAATTGAAGCTTCAATTGAGCATCCGAATTGAAAGTCTGTGCCAGTTTCTGCCACAGGACAGAGTACAAGCTTTTTCCGCGATGAGCGACAGTGCTAGATTAGAGGACTCAATAAACTCAATTGACCCTTCATTGAGTGAGAAGCACAAACAATTGAAAGAGTTAGCCAATGAAGGATCTGATTTCGAAGCATGGAAAAAGAAAACGGAAGAGTTAATCGATAGCTTTTCTGGAGAGATTGACATTTTAGCGCCGCAAGTGCAACAGGTATTTTACTTTGTTTGTCCTTCATGTAGTTTATAGGTTTTTTAATCAGAGAAAAACATTGAGAAAGTATCAGAAATGTGAAAATTGCTTACATATACAAAACAAACAACAAATGTGGGATGAATCGTCAAGGACTATTAGTCGTTTATAGGTTGAGCAATCAGAATCGTGATGCGTTCCAGTGACAAAAATTTGATCTTCATGAAAATCCTCAAACTAGAAGGGTCATAATTTTCATGATATAAGTTATGCCATGGAAATTTATAAATAAGTTTCAATGCTGCTTCAAAATTATTCAATTTTGCAGGTGAAAGATAAACGCGACAGAGAAGAGCGAAGAAGTGTTTTGAAGCAGAAGAAGCTGTTCCTTCTTTATGAAGTGGAGTTGAAAGAATTCAACCAGTTAAGAGAGAGAAGAGATGTTCTTGAGAAGGAAGTAAGCGTTAAGAGAGAGGACATGAAGCCACTTCAGAAAGTACTCTGTGAGAAAAAAGACTCGGCTGTCCAGTCAATGCGGAAAGTGAAAGACTGCTCTAAGAATCTGCAGAACTGCCTAAGGTTAGATGATAAACTGTTGGATTTGTCTCAGCTGTTATTTGACCTCTGGTTGCCTACTAGGAACTAAAGTTGCCTAAAAAGGAAGAATTTGATGTGAAGTAGTGTCAGTTTTAATGTTTTAAGGACATTTTAAAAACATTGATCTTGCTCAAGTTTACGGAAACTAGATTAATTTTGCCAATTGCGGAAAATCATAGCTTTACTTCAGCTGGCTGAGATATATTTTGTTAATTTTGACTTAATTCAGATCTCAAGAAGTAGTGATGCAGAAGGCAGAGCAGTTCTCAGAAGCACAACAGAAGGTGCATCATCAATTAGACCAGAGGAAGCTAGACGATGAGAAAAGAGTAGTCGTGGCTCAGCAGTTGAGAGAGGAGATAGCTATCATTCAGCAGAATCTGACGGACACAACAAAGTCAGAGCAAAGTATCGCCACAAGGACCAAGGTGAAGAGAACTTCATGTTGTTTTGAGTTAATAGTCGATGTAGTTCGGACTTTTTTCAGGTCGTGATTTTATTTTCAGGAAAAGTCTTTATGAATGCTTCTAGGGATAAATGCATTATTTGAGTTTAATTCAATTTTGGTCTGCTCAAAAGTTAGGTAAGCTGAGCTTTACAATTACAAAAGTGATCATGACGAAAATCATGATCAAATTTTAGTTACGAGAGTGGAATTTAATTTTCAGATTTCTCAGCTGAATTAAAACTTTCAACTAATAGTCCTGTTTTCACAAATTGAATCATTTTTTTATCTAAAACTTTTCATTCACATATTGTTTTTGAAATTCAAAGAGCTATAGAGCCATATATTTTTTACTTCGAATCATTTTTTATCAAAAACTTATCATTCACATATTGTTTTTGAAATTCAAAGAGCTATAGAGCCATATATTTTTTTACTTTTTGTTTTCTTGCGTTTATTGACTCTCTTACAACTGTCTGTAGGCTTCGTTTATAGATATGCATTTGAATTAAACTAAACAGAATGCTAAGAGCGACTCGGCTTGGAGTTTTTTGTTCTGGGATAACGCTAATTTGGTTCTCATGGGGACCATGAGAACCCAATTAACATAACGTTGATTTGGTTCTCATGGGGACCAGGAGAACCCAATTAGCATAACGTTATTTTGGTTCTCATAGGGACCATGAGAACCCAATTAGCATAACGTTGATTTGGTTCTCATAGGGACCATGAAAACCCAATAAGCATAACGTTGATTTGGTTCTCATGGGGACCATTAGAACCCAATTAGCATAACCTTCAATTGGTTCTCATAGGGACCATGAGAACCCAATCAACATAGCGTTGATTTGGTTCTCATGGGGACCATGAGAACCCAATAAACATTACGTTGATTTGGTTCTCATGGGGACCATGAGAACCCAATTAGCTAATGTTAATTTGTTTGTCATAGGGACCATGAGAACCCAATCAACATAACGTTGATTTGGTTCTCATAGCGACTATGAGAACCCAATTAGCATAACGTCAATTTGGTTCTCATGGGGACCATTAGAACCCAATAAACATAATGTTGATTTGGTTCTCATAGGGACCATGAGAACTCAATTAGCATAACGTTAATTTGGTTCTCATAGGAACCATGAGAACCCAATTAGCATAACGTTAATTTGGTTCTCATAGGGACCATGAGAACCCAATTAGCATAACGTTGATTTGGTTCTCATGAAAACCATGAGAACCCAATTAGCATAACGTTAATTTGGTTCTCATAGCGACCATGAGAACCCAATCAACATAACGTTGATTTGGTTTTCATAGGAACCATGAGAACCCAATTAGCATAACGTAAAATTGGTTCTCATGGGGACCATGAGAACACAATAAACATAAGGTCGATTTGGTTCTCATGGGGAACATGAAAACCCAATTAGCAAAACGTTCATTTGGTTCTCATAGGCACCATGAGACCCCAATCAACATAATGTTGATGTGGTTCTCATAGGGACCATGAGAACCCAATTAGTATAACGTTGATTTGGTTCTCATGGGGACCATGAGAACCCAATAAACATAACGTTGATTTGGTTCTCATGAGGACCATGAGAACCATTAGCATAACGTAAAATTGGTTCTGATGGAGACCATGAGAACCCAATAAACATAAGGTCGATTTGGTTCTCATGGGGAACATGAGAACCCAATTAGCATAACGTTAATTTGGTTCTCATAGGGACCATGAGACCCCAATCAACATAACGTTGATTTGGTTCTCATAGGGACCATGAGAACCCAATTAGCATAACGTTGATTTGGTTCTCATGGGGACCATGAGAACCCAATAAACATAACGTTGATTTGGTTCTCATGAGGACCTTGAGAACCCAATTAGCATAACGTAAAATTGGTTCTCATAGGGACCATGAGAACCCAATCAACATAAAGTTGATTTGGTTCTCATAGAAACCATGAGAACCCAATTAGCATGACGTAAAATTGGTTCTCATGGGGACCATGAGAACCCAATAAACTTAATGTCGAATTGGTTCTCATGGGGAACATGAGAACCCAATTAGTATAACGTTATTTTGGTTCTCATTGGGACCGTGAGAACTCAAATAACATAACGTTGATTTGGTTCTCATAGGGAGCATGAGAATCCAATTAGCATAACCTTGATTTGGTTCTCACGAGGACCATGAGAACCCAATTAGTGTAACGTTAATTTAGTTCTCATGGGGACCATGAGAACCCAATGAGCATAATGTTAATTTGGTTCTCATGGGGATTTTTTTGAGAATAATGAATGCATTGAGTACTCTTATTTAGGTCATGGTGATTTTTTTCAGGAAACGCTCAACTTTAGTTTTTCGGGGTTTGACTTGTTTTTTTTTCAAGTTCAGAGCCTTTCCATTGACAAAAGGAAGGCAAACTCCACTATCGATCAGCAAAATTGTAAAGGTCACAAAAGTGTGATCGACTTCTTTTTTCGAAAATGGAAATTATCAGATTTCCCAGCAAAAAAAAAAGTTTTACCTATTGATCCAGTTTTCTCAAATTGGGTAATTTTAACCAAAATGTGTTCATCACAAATTGTTTTTCAATTTCGAAAAGCTTAAAGGAAATCTCTTTTTTAATGTGGTTTCTCGAAGAGCGGAAAAATTTTTGAAATTTTTTTTATGTGTTTTGAATCACGATTTTAAGGGCTTTAATTTGATATATCACTCAGCCCAGTCCGATGATTCGTTGGGCTACCTGATTTTGCGTGGAAAACAAAAAGAAAAAACTAAAACCTAACCGAATACAAAGTTCCTCCCCATTTTCAATGGTTGGAACAATAAACATCTTATTCAATATTGAATATCATCCTATCTTCTACAGAATTTTCCCAAAGGACAATTGTTAGCAACCAATATATTGCAGTCACTCTGTAAGGCCTCTTGAATCCAAAATTTTTCATGATGAGTTCAAATTTTAATTTAACAGGTAGTTTTTGCTGAAGACTGGTATTTTGTATAGGCGCATCGATTTTAGAATTTCGACTTGGTGACGATTATCGAAATTTCTGAAATATCTCTTTTCGTGAATTCACGGAAAACTGCAATAATAGCAGTTGCTTGGGAAATTCTATTGATTTCTGCTTTGATAACTATTGTGTTGGTTGCAGGAGTTGGAGGCGATAATTGATGGTTTGAATGCTGAATTAGCCCCATTGGAGAATGAGCATGGACGGGTGGGTATGGACTACCAGAGGAAGAAGAGTGAGCTGGAGCAGCTGAACAAGTTGCTGATGAACTTCGAGCACAAAGTGAAAGAAAGGGAGAATGAATTGAACCAGTTCCACTCCCATTCCTACAGGGCATATCAGTGAGTAAACTCACCGAGCTTACTCTCAGTTTTTACACTGCTATTGTCAAGTCTTATCAAATACAAGACTTTTTTTTCTGTAAACAACTTGTCTAAGAGAAGCCCTTCTTGATTGATAAGGCTTTGTTACCTTTCTCCCATAGTGCAGATGCTGACATGCTCTATTTTTTCGAAAATTTAAAATAAATTACGGTTTCTATAATCATTACCCGCTTCGGTCAAATAGAATAAGCGAATTATCTCCACGACAAAACTCTAATTCGAATCTGTGCAAATATTAGTCATTTTGAATTGGTTTTGTTGGTTAACAGAAAAGGCCAATGAATTCAGAAAGAGTTTTTTTGCCAGAATTGTTCAAAAAACACAAAAATACTGATATGGTCTGATTCGCTGAAAACCCAACTGATTATTCCACTAATCAAATGAACTTTATCCACACAGAACTGTTGATTTTGGGGTGAATGGTAGGTTATTGTTCAGTTGATCCCCCGCAGCTGTTCATATTCATAATAACTATGGTTTATTGTTCTGACTTTCCGGGTTTTTCAATCAGACCAATTTTGGCGATCGAAGTAATAGTTATACCCCACTGAAGATATCGACTTCCTGAGTTGGAATTTAAAATTATATTTAACCTGTGTTTGTTTTTTGCTAAGTTAAGGAGGTTTGAAAATTGCCAATTTGACCATATTCTGGAATAATTTATGCGCGCTTGTAGGAATTCGTCTATGATGTTCAAAGCGTAAGGGCGACTTAATTAAGCGCGTTGAATTGTCCCGCACGAAATCATTCCAAATTGATTTGAGGCAACAAGGTAATTGACAGTGTTGTGAGATTCCATAAACTTCGATGCTTGTATTTTGTGAAAAAGCGGATTAAAAAACAATAATAGAAAACAGCTATTAAAAACAAACGTTTAAAACACTGTTTAAAACATATGGTGTATTCAACATAACAACCCTGGTAATTGGTCGTATTAGTCAACTTTATAGCGCGCTTTCTGTTATATGTTGACTGTTGGGAAGGAAAAATAAAATAAGTTCAAATTTCATTGTTTATAATTTTTGCGAAAGCAAAGTGTCTTGTAATCGGGAATTATATTTTTCACCGTAAACAATTTTTCTTTACACTAGCGTCTGCTTAGTGTATTGTTACGAACCTTCTTTTTGCCCACCTAACTCTCAATTAAAAGTGTTCACTTATTTACACAAGCATAGCTTGTGTTATACTATGAAGTTTTTTTTCCAACCTAAGTCGCAAATATTGTTGCGATGCAATTGTTGCGACGAAATGTTCATTTTGATCTAGCTATTAAGTACAGCCAATGCTAAGGATATTAACAGAGGTTATCATATTACAAATAGCACTTTAGCTTCAAGGTATCATGGATCTGTAGCGTAGAGGTAGGGAAGGAGACCAGCAACAAAACAAGAAGGTTCGAACCTGGGCAGGGTCGGATTTTTTATTGAACTTTTTCGTATACTAGTTAAAATGCGTCCTCTCTGTATTTGGAGGCATCTTAGTTTATATAGTTTTTTTCTTCAAATTGACTGGTACTGCTAATGCGTCATTATTGGCTTGCATCACTTAGCAGCTATGTAGACTCATAATTGGCGTGTGTCATTTAAGAAAATTTGTAGACTCGAAGTTTTACTCATTCAGTTTTCCCAGTAGCCTTATTGGTCATATTTTTGCTTGTGCATGCGAAGTGCAACTTCGGCTCTGTGTTGGAAATTTCACTGTAGCATTGGAAGTTGCATAGCATGTGTTCTCTGCTTTTGTTTGTGACTAGTGTTTGGCTCTTACCTATTAAGCTTCAGTGGCTGAGTGGTTAGGGTGTGAGACTCTTAAATCTCAGACGTAGCCAATTTTTGCTGCTTTCTACTTTTTTTATTGCACTTTACAGAGCAGCTGTTTTGCCGTGTTCTCGCCTCTGTGTGCAAATTTTCGTTTAGCTTTATTACTGAATTTTAACAAATTCCCGGTTCCCCTGCATTATGTTTAGAGGTACCGCCGTTCCGTGTTAATCCTTAGGTCCGGGGTTCGAATCACAGCCGGACCTTGTTTTTATTTCAGTAAGTATGCAATTGAAAATTTTTTGTTCCGGTAAAACTTAATTCGTCAGACTTGCGTTTATCAGCTGAAGTTTTGCCGACTTCTGCTCAGATCACAGTTTTATTTTCTTGTGCTGTAAGATCGTGGTAGTTGCAAGTGTTGTTCATTGTAGTTTTTGGGGGGACTTGAACTTTCAAAGTTCATAAAATCTTTTTTCTTCGCTCAACTGGTGTCTGCTCTAAGATTGTCCGCTTTGCTTCCGCTTAGTAAGTTTTGCTCGGTTGCTAAATGAAAATTCAAATGTCATGCCTGTGTTTTTTGCCTAGATTTCATGTTTGATAAAAACAGGTATTATGAAAATGCATGGGATTGGGTTTTTTATTTGATTGTTTTTTGAGAGAAGCAAGAAGGTTTTTTTTACCTTTGGCCAAAAGCTTGTCAGAAACTTCTACCGATTTCCAAAAAGGTGTATTATTAGAAAGACCGCTTGCTCCCCTGTAGGCCTGCTTAGTCCCCTAGTCTCTTCTTACTTTACCCCTCTGTCTACCGCCTTCGGAAAAGTCTGTGGGGAATATGACGCATATTTTCAACTTTTCTTGAAAAAATTTCTCGAAAACGACTCTCCCAAAACTGAGTTTTTTGGTACAATCAAATTAACAGTTTATGTGAGTTTCTTCTGCCGGAAATGTCAAATTTTTGATTTATTGACAGTTTTTTGGATTTATCTCGCCAACTATCCTGCCAAATCTGATAATGTAGATTTAATCGGCAAATCAGGTTGTTGCAAGTGTAGCTTAATAAATTTGTGCGCCCAGTTTTTTGAAGAAAAAATTATGATCTTCAAACTAGGCAAAGTTTTGAAACTTAGACCGTTTTTGGAAACTTTTTGACTTTACTTGAAAACTACCCTGCCAATTCTCAGATTCAGTGTTCAATCGAGAAACCTGGTTTGGTAATAATCTCTGCGTATGGAGACACTTCCTGCTTTTTGCAGAAAAAAAGTTCTGGATTTCAGAAAATCTTTCGACTGTTTTTTAGAATTTCTGACCGTTTTTTAGAAACTTTTTTTTGAATTTGCTTAGAAACTTCCCTATCAAATCTCAGGCGAAAAGCTCAGTTGAAAGAACCGGTTGCGTGAAGTTTTCCTGCAGAACCAGCGACTCTTTCATTTTTTGTAAAAGAACTGATTGGTCCTTGGGAAAATTCCATTATCTCAAAATTTTTCACTACCGCTTAAATTAGTAGAGAAACAACTAAGGTTTTGGGCAATGTCCATTTTTTGAATTACACAATTCGTCCCAAATCAGTATAACAAATTCATACAATATCAATTACCTACCTCAAGCTTTAGCTGGGCCACTAGTTGTTTTTATCGAGCCATGAAAGTTTCGGTTCACCTAGTTTTTTTGATCGGTTTACATTTTTTTTCGATGTTTTTTAATGTTTGTCTTGTATTTTAGTGTCCTGGTTTTATTTAGTTTTTGAGTCGCTTTTTTCCCAAAAGTCCATTTTTAACTAATTAAGTGACAGTTTTCTAGGCTTATTGCTAAAGTTAAATCAATAAATTTTTTATGAAAAATAATTTTGTTTTCAACTATCTATTGTCTTGAAATTTTCGGCTTTGTTTTTTAGGTGGAAACTATACCGGCTTAGTTTCTATTTGCTTTATGTACGTGTTTTTGATTTCCACTGAGTTTACCTTACCCACTTCTTAAACAAGATGGTTGTACTTTTCTATTAGGTGTTTTAATCGTCGGCTAAACGAACAATTCACTTCACATTAATTTTGTCTTTGAGGTGGGTGAAGGAGCACGAGAGTGAATTGGGCTTGGAGGGGGAGTGGAGTCTGCCGATGTTCCTCTCCCTCGCAGTCACCGACCAGAGCAGACGGAGACAGGTGGAGATGCATCTGAAGAAGAAAGATCTGTTCGCATTCGTGTTCGCCAACAAACAGGATCTCGACAAGTTCTCATCAATCGTCAATGACCAGGTAAATTATAACGAAAACAGTTAAGAAATGGCACTAATTTTGTGTAGAAGATACGATATAGTTAACCCACGGCTTTCTACTAAGATCAATCGAGCAGACGTGGGTAAGTCGCGCAGCTTTTAACTCGATGGTCGTGGGTTCGGATCATAGTCATTCATTTTTGTATCGCTATGATCGATCGAGCAGACGTGGGTAAGTCGCGCAGCTTTTAACTCGATGGTCGTGGGTTCGGATCATAGTCATTCATTTTTGTATCGCAAAGGGTGCGAAGTTCCGCTTCGCCTCTGTGTATCAGAGTTCCAATCGTAAAAGATTTTTGAAATTGAATGAATTTTATGGTGATGTAATAAAGACTAGAAAATTCGAGAAAAAAACAGTCCTTGTTTATGTCAATGTGTATATGCATAACTTACTTGTTACAATATTAGGTAATCGTGCGGGATCTATTTTTGCCGCGTTGTCATGTGTATGAGTATAGTTGGATCCTCTGAAAGTCAAAACTAGATTGGAAACATGCATTATTTGCAGCTCATGAAAAAAAGAATGGCGTTTTGTTTCATTTTAGATGGGTCTGGTAGTAGATTCCCTTTTGGCTCCCAGCCAAGATCTCACTTCGGACAGATTGGCCAGAGAACAGCTCAGTAGGTTCAATTGCGATGGAGTTCTACTGGACTTCATAAGTGCCCCTGGGCCAGTGATGAGATATCTGCAGAAGATCTACTTCTTCCACAAGACTCCGATTGGAAACCAGTTGACAGACCAGAACATCGATGAACTTTCCCAGAGGTCAGTTAGAACAATATTACTGGTCGGAAGATATGATAATTATTCAATTATAATCTGAACGTACCTCTGTATCTAAGGTTTTGGAGTAGAAAAAACTATAAGGTTCTGGAATAAAAGTTGCGACCTGCCTCGGTCTGATTATATACTAAACATATTGTACTGATTTTATTGAACAAAAATTCTTCCAGCCGTACAATTTTTGCCCCAATCTATGTTTGTAAATATATAAATTGAAAGTAAATATTATGAAACGTGTAAAAAATGTGTCCGAAACGTGTAGTTTATATTTGTCCAGGTTGTTTTAAGCAACAAGCGATCAAAATTTCAGCAATCATCAAGAGCTCTCCTTAAGATTTTTTTTGTTAAACATGAAGATTGTTTCAGGTTTCCGGTATTTTACTCGAATGATCGTCGCTTCCAAAGCAAGAAATCAAAATACTCTGGCCAGATATCATCCGGCGAAGTGCAGCTGAGAAACTGCAGATTTCTCAAAGACACTTTCGAACTGAGTCAGAAAATGGTCATCCAGCAGCAAAGAACAGAAAAACTGGTGGAGGAACAGCAAATCAAGAAGGTTCTAGAAGAAATATTCCAGAAAATGAACATGATCAGCAATAAAATCAACCAATTGAAATCGGAGAAATCTTCGCTAGCGCATAATGAGAAGCAACGGAAACAGTTGGAAACTTCGCTGCAATTGAAATCGAATAAACTGCGAAGTATAGAGTCGGCAAAAGTGAACATGAAGGCTGAGTTTGAGAAGGCGACGAAAAATTTCCAGGATTCGAGGCAGCAGAAACTGGCGCTGATGGCAAATGTAAAAGGGAAAATGGAAGAGGTTATGAAGGAGTTGCAGAAAGCATCTCTCTGTAATTTGAGGTAAGATAAGCCATTTAAAGTCCTAACCAGAACGTGGTCTTTATTTAAGGGTTATCTACGCTATGTTCTATAAAAAGGTGGTAAGTCTGCAAGCCGATGTATCAGCAACCCGAAAGCGGGCAGACCAGATCAGTTAACCGATAATGAAATTACCTGATTAGTAAAATGAAAATTGTGAAAAAGGTGTCCAGTAAACCGAAAATATATTTTTTAAAGTATCAACGGTTTCAAAGTAACGTGTTTACCCTCGCGATAATTTATTAATTAGATCAAGCCCGTTTCAGGTTGTAGTATCTTTTCAAAAAAAAAATTCTATTTTTTTTTGGGTTCCTTGTTTTCGTCTTAGTTTGTGTCGGTTCAATTTCCGTTTTTTTTAAATCCAATTTTTTCTGGTAGGGTTTTTATTAGTTTACTTTTAAAGCATGGAGCTTAATGTAATTTAAACATTTTTTTTACTATAACTGAAACTTCACAAATTTTCAAATTTACCATGTCTTATTTTAAGTTTTTTGTTTTCATGTTTTTTCGTTTTTATATTCAAGCAGTTTCAGTTTTTGTTATATCGGCTTAGTCAACTTGTTCAGCGTAATTTCGAGGGAAACATATATCCGTTTGGGATTTTCTTGGGGTTTCAGTTTGGATGGGTCGTAAAAACTTAAAATGAAATTTTCCGTTTGGGGTTTCAGTTTGGATGGGTCGTAAAAACTTAAAATGAAATTTTTTGACAACAGTTTTGTTTTCGACTCAACATGTTTCGACCCAAAGTTTGTCGCCTTTGGTGCCGCTCGGTAAATGATTTCCATTTTTATGGGCTGTTTATGAACTTCATCTGATGCAATTATGAAGTTTTTTAGCTCTAATTTTTTACACTTGCGATCAGGTTAAAGGATTATTACGAACCTTTTTTTTCTCTAACCTATTTCGCAAATAAAAGTGTCCATGAAATGTGTTCACGTATTTTTGGAAATTTCACTGCAGGATTGGAAATCGCTTAGTATCTGTTCTCTGCTTCACTCGTGGCTTGTCTGTGGTACCTATTAAGCTTCCGTGGCTGAGTGGTTTGTGTGTGAGACTCTTAATCTCTACCTCGCTGATTCGAATTTTAGACGCAGCCGATTTTTGTTTTTACCAATTCGAGACTTGTTTCTTATTTTCCTTCTTGCACTTAATAGAGCTGCTTTTTTCAGTGTTCTCTCTAGTGCTTTCGAACGGAAGCTTTGCTTCTGTGTAGCGGCAATGATTTTTTAGCGCAATGTGTTTTTTTTGCATTGCAAGTATTGCGAAGCTCCGCTTCGCCTCCATGTTTATTAGATAAAATTGCAAATCGTTGTAAATTAAGTTACACAGCTGAAATGAAATATTGCAGTCAATCTGTGGAAAGTTTTTCAGTTTGATTCCTTGATGAATTTATTCTTAGTATTTAATATCTGAGTTAGCATTTAATATTACGCAACCGGTTACGTAATTGTTAACTAATTGTTAAGTAATTGTTTCATAATTCTGTTAACTGATATGCTTATTCACTGATACATCGATTTACTACACCTTTTAATAGTTAGACAAATGTTTGCCTTCGTGAATATAACCGAAATAGAAACGATTATGGAGATTTGAATAAATGACATTCCATACATGCCCAATAGGAGGCCGCTCTTCATAAAAATATAAACAGAAAAATGTCCCAAAAGGATTTAAATTGTGATTAAGTCCCAATCAACATAGTGAATACACCACATTAAAAACTCAAGGATGATTTTTTTCTTTTAAATTCAGAAGATAAATTTTTTCAAAAATAAGATTTTTTTCGGTCTCCTTATTCATTGACACTTTTGCTATGCTTTAATTCGTTTCAGAGTAGAAATAGACAATTTTGGCACACGGCTGTGTGAGCGACAGCTGAAGACAGAGCAGGAGTCCAACAGTACTCTGGAGGGGGAGTTGCAGAGACTGATGGAGACAGTGACTGATAAAAAGAGGAAGGCCAGAAACTGTTGGGTGGATGCACTTAAGGAGGCTAATTTAGAGGTCACTGCCAAGACCATACCACAATATGTGGAGGATAAGTTAGTAAAATTTAGTTCTCAGTATTGCCTGCGGGTAGCATAAGAATATCTTAATAAACTGGGTTGATTCAAGAAGAAAAATTTTATTCAGTATCCTTTCTGGATTCTTTCATGCATCCTAGAAAACAAGATCAATAATTTCTAAGTGTTGCTCACTTCCAAGAATTACTAAAGCAAGATTTTAGAGCTAGATTTAACTTTCGACTGCGAGGAGTTGAATAAAAGTTGCCAATGATGAGACGCCATCAATTGATTTATATCTTTCATACGTTCCCATACATCGCGATTTAGTGTTCCAATCATTTTTCAACTAGAATTTACCAAATTGCTTTTCTGAGTTTTATGTGTTTTCTTTGTATGTCTGATGGCGTTGCATGTTATGATTATGTTCTGCTGTGTTTAGGTTTCAGAAGTTTGGTGTGCCTGATGATGTGGTGTCGGTGGAGCAGCAGATGGAGGAGGAGGAGGAACAGCTGGCCATAATTGCACTAGTCCAATTAGACGAAGGGGTGGTGGAAAGGTAGGAGCTAGGAAACAAATATAGAAAAGTTAGGCGAAGAGACGGTTGATAAACTTTAAAAAAGACAGAGACAAAATAGATCGAATTGCCTTCGAAAAGATGGACTTTTGTCGCGGAGCATCATTATCTCAGTTCACTTAATCCATTCGCATGCGATAATTCGCGGGCTGTCATTTTTTTATTACTTAAACATGTGGAGCCTATTGTACTACTACGAAGCAACTTTTTTCCCTTCCTAACAAGCAAATAAAAGTGCTCATTTGGTGGCACTTGGTATATTTCCAAACATTGGAAATTTAATAGCATCTTTAGCTGCCTCATTGGTGGCTTTTTTAGTGTTCGTTTATTCCCAAGCGATCGTTGAGCAAGTGCGCGAACCTGAAAACTCTAATCTTCAGGTCGGAAGTTCGATTAAAGCTCATAGCAGACAATTTGTTTCAAGGTTTTTCTTACATTTTCCTACTTTCCTTATTGTTCCTGTCATTGAAAATGGGGAAAAACTTTGTATTTGGGCGTGTTTAAGTTTTTTTGCTAATTAGGTGCCATAAATAAGCAACCTAATGGGTCAAGCGATATAGCATATTAAAGCCCTTTCGGTCCTGATTCAAACGACATTAAAAATTTTCAAAAAGTTGTCCCAGTGTCGAAACAATTCGGTTTTAGACTTATTTCGAGAGTTTAAAGCGACCCCGTAATGTTCGTTATATCGAGTAACGTTGGCCATTTAGGCTAAAACTTGATTTTACTAAACGAAAACTTGTGTTACAAGCTTCTAAAAAATGGAAAAAATTTTGTGCAAAAGATTAGAAAATGTTTCCTTTTTTGTTCGTATTCCGTTTTATGAAGAAAACAGTTAACAATTATGCCTAATTTTCTAAATTTATACGAGTATGTATAGTTCTTTCATTGCTTCATGCACAAGAAGCGACACTAATTTGAGCAAAAAAAAAACTTTTTTTTGTAGTTTTTCGAGTGTGGTTGGAACATTTGTGCTACTAGCAGAGCAACCGGCTATCCATGTTTAAACTTGCGACAGTGAACGCTCGGAAAATACTAAACGCTTGTTTAAGTAAACGCTAGTGGTTGTGTTTCTCGTCTGTTTTCAGAGTAATGCACGTAGTGAGTACTCTAATATAGGTCTTGATGATTTTTTTCTTAATTTTTTTTCAGGAAAAATTCTTAAAATTTGTTCACGCTCAATTTTGGTTTTTCGCGGTTTGATTTGTGATTTGTTTTTAAGATCAGTGCATTTCCATTGTTAAAAGGAAGGCAAACTCCACTATCAAACAGCAAGTGTAAAGCTCACAAAAAATTTGATCCACTTCTAAATTCGAAAATGGAAATTGATTATCAGATTTCCCAGCGAACTAAAAGTTTTACCTGTTGATCCAGTTTTCTCAAATGGGATCAATTTTAACAAAAATGTGTCCACCATAAATTGTTCTACAAATTCAAAGAGCTTTGAGGCCATCTAATTTTTTTCTTCGAAATTCAAACCTTGAAGGATTTTGAAACAAGTCAGTTTTTTTAAGTTTCCTTGCATTCGTTGCTCTTTTCCAACTGCCAGTTGGCTATGTTTTCTGAGATCGATTTTTTCGTATTTCAAAAAAAAATTGACTTTAAAGTTTTTTTATGACAACAATTTTCTTTTGATTTTTTTGGTTTCAGATTAATTGTTGGCTTAGTGAACGCCTGAAAAATACTAAAAGCTCATTTTATGCTAGTGGCTGTGTTTCTCGTCTGTTTTTTTGAGATTGAAATTTTCGTATTTCGAAAAAAAATGTTGATTTCTTTCTAGTTTTTTTTTCATGACAACAATTTCTTTTGCAATTTTTTTTGGTTTCGGATCAGTTGATGTCTAACCACCTGTTGTTGGCTTAATGAACGCTTGGAACATACTACGAGCTTGTTTATGCTATTGGTTGTTTATTTCGTCTGTTTTCCTGAGATTGAATTTTTGTTTTGATTTATTCAAGTTTTTTGTTGCTTACTTATTTCCATCTCACTCGCTATTTAGAAGCACGCAGTGCTACGCTTTCGTTCTATCGCATGTGGCGCGAAGCTCCGCTTCGCTTCTGTGTCCATTTTTTTAGGTTATAGAAAAAGTGTTTATGGGCCAATTTTTCCCCAGTTAGATGCTTGTATAATAAAGGTTATCCCAAAAACTCTGTATTAAAGAATATTTCAAAATCAAACGAAGGCTGCTCACAGATTCTGCACGGTTTGCTTAGAAGATGACACGTTTTTGATAAATTTTTGGTACGTATTTGATACCCTGTAACGATTTGTGTATGTTGGTAGATTCGAGAAATTGAATCGGAAAGTGGAAGAACTGCGAGCTCAGAAAGACAGCAGATCTCGCCAGCACGACACACACCAGGAGAAAGTGGACCAATTACGCTACGAGTGGCTGCAGAGTGTGAAACACTTCATAGAACGACTGGATAGGAACTTCTCCCGATTCATGAGTAAGATGATGTCGTTGTTTATTGACAATTGAAAAAAGCATCGGAACTAATAGTTATCATACATATAAAGATAAAATTATGGATTAATTTTATGAAGACTGATGCATTTTATAAGCGAATGTTTTACGGATTCCTTGCCGGCTTTTCTCATTTTGTTATGTAACCGGATATTTTACAAGTTTACTTGGAAAGACAAAATCTATTAGAAGTTAGAGTAAAAATTAACAGTGAGGAGTGAAAGCAATACAAACCCGGTCGTCCGCAACGTTTCAGTTTTAAATAGATCCCCAGCTTTTTTTTGTGAGCTAAATGATATTATAGGTGAGATGCAGTGCAGCGGTAGAGTGGAGTTGCAGAGTAAGGGGGACTTGGATCCGGGCTCTTACGGACTGAGCATCAAAGTGAGCTACAGGAGGGGTGAGGGGGTGCAGGAGTTGAAGCGGGAGTACCAGAGTGGGGGAGAAAAGAGTGTGGCCACCATGTTGTACCTACTGGCACTGCAAGTATGACAGATGTTTTTCTTCAATTTCTGAATCGCTAGTGGATTGCTTAAGATAAAACCGAATTTACTTTTTTTGATTAAAAAATAATTGTTAACGCTGAAGGTTAACATGATTTTAACCGAGATTGAGAAAGATGTCTCCAGTTATAGTAGAAAGTCTTACGACAATATCTAAAGCCATGCTTAAATGATGGTAAATGATCTTATTGTAATATTTAGCTAATATGAGGCGAATATTTAGAAACCAAACCAATGGCGCGTGTTGACTGATTTTGTGTTTCAGGAGCTGACTACAGACGTACCCTTCCGAATAGTGGATGAGATAAACCAAGGCATGGACGCAGACAACGAACGCAAGGTGTTCAACATGATCGTAGAGACAGTTTGCAACGGAGACTCAGACACCAAGACTTCCCAGTACCTCTTTGTGACTCCTAAGTTACTACTAGACCTGCAGTACCAGCCAAACATGTCAGTTTTAGTGGTGAATAACGGAGTGGCGAATGATATTGGTTCTAAAGACTGGAACATATCCAAGTTTATTAAGAAGCACAGACGGCTTACGGCAGCTACTCAGGATGGCGAATAGAAATGATGATTGAGGTTTTTGAAACAATCAGATATTGGCAATTATTGTTGATTTTAGTCGATATAAACTGGAGTTAGCAGTTATATGATAATGAAATTGTGTTCTTATTTGATTGTCTATTGGGTTCAGTTGTGAATCAAAATTGTAATTGATTGAAGTGCAATTTAGGTTAGTATTGTTCTTGTTTTCAACATCACTTCGTAGAGCTAATTATACTCCATTTCTTGCTTTTTTCGTGGTACTCCATTTGCCTTTTTTTTCGCGTTCAATTAGGTACATTCAAGCGGCCTAAAGGTAATAAACAGGATAAGTAATTTAAATATAAGGTTTCAATAAAAGCAGTGGAGACACAGGAAGTAAGTTTTTTTTCAGGCGGCAATGATGATGATGATGATGAAGTTTTTGTTTTGTGATTACGCTCAAATTTGTCTTTGACTTGTGATTTATAAGTTGAATTCAAATTCATTTAACAAAGGGAAGGCAAATTGCTCTCCTCCTTACAAAAGAGGAAAAAAACATGACCGACTTCATTTAAAAAAATATTTATTGTAATTTTAAGCCTTCCAGCGGAATAAAATTAATTTTGATCCAGTTTTCTCAAATTGTGTTAACAATACCAAAAAAGTGTCTGGTTAAATAAACTGTAAAAAAATCAATGTTTCTTGTGTCTTTGTATTCATTGACACTTTAACTGGCGGTAGACTTCGTTTAAAAAAAATTTTTGTTCGTAAACATTACGAGGCCAACCGGATAGGCGCACAATTTTATGTCTGTATGTTCCTAGATGCTAGAGACAAGTCTGTAAATATGTTAAAACTCTGTCGGAACGATCAAAGAAAATGAAAGAACCAAAGGAGAACAAAGGGAGGTTCAATTATGCGGAAACACGTAAAATTCTCAAAATGATAAGTTGGGCCTTGTAAGGAAATTTTCTTCAACGAATTTCGAGGAGCTTTAACGAGCAGTTATTATCCTTCTTTTTGCGCAACCTAGCTTTAGCGAGCGTAGTGTGTTAGTATGAGTGTTCCATTTTCCTACCTCAAATGCAAATAAATGTGCAAGTTTGGGCTGCTTTTTTGAATCAGGAGGCTGCATAGGCACTATAATAGCATGTAATTCGAAGTTCGATTAGTAAAAACATAACACAGTTGATGCATTTTTGATTCATAATGAACTGAAAAAAGTAATTGTTGAAAACAACTACATTAACTCAGTTTCAGAAACTTTCTAACTTACTATATCTGGCAAATTTTTTGAAATGCATTATTTATACTAAATTTGGCTTCATGCATTCCAATTCATTGCGTGCAAATTTAGTGTGAATGCCTTTAGTTTAATGTTTTTCCAAATTATTACATTGAAATTCTGGTGCTACTTTTGCTGCATAGCATTGCAATTTATTAGCATATGTTGCTGCTGTATTTGGTGGCTAGTCTTGAGTTTTTAAGGGCTCATAGCTTAGATGCGAGGATGTGACTCCAAGTCCCCTTAAACTCTAAGTTCGAATCCGTCACAGCAAAAGCGTTAATTTTCAAGGCCTTTAGTACAGCTAAATTTTGTCGTTTTCTTGCTTGTATTTTCGGCGCGCTGCCTCGAATCTGTTGAAGTTCTAACGTTTTTGTAGGTCAAGTACCTTTTTTTTCTACAAAAACTCATTTCGAGAAAACTGGTTTTTTAGAATTTTTTCATTCGGCTTTAAAACCCATAAGTTTAAATCTTCATTCAGGCTTAGAATTACTGCAGGTTTTTTTTGCGCCTTTCTAATAATTGTCTTCTGTTTGTACATCGGCACGTAAAATCAAACCAACACGCCATTGTATTTTTATCAATGGAATCGAAGAAATAAAAAAGATCATTTTTAAATTTCATTATTCTCCCGTAGAAATGTCTAATGTCCAAGTTTCAGCTGTCTCGTCAAAAGTTTTTAAGCAAGTTTTTGGCATCTGATTTGTTTAATTAGCTTTTTTTGATGAGTTACTTGTATTGAGTGATTTGGATCTAATTTAAATACAAGTTATTTTCTGTTGAAATAGGACGTCAAAACCTAACATGAATATAGCCAACAAATAGTAAGGAAAACGTCAATAATTTCAGAAAAATATAGATAAATTATTGATTTTTTTCATAACATGATTCATTTTTGAATATCAAAGAAAAAGTAAACACGTGAAGCCATTAAATATCAAGTTTCTTCTAAATAATGTATTTTTTTTCACAAATTAGTCAATTAGAAAAATTGGATCAATGAGTTATCGTTTTTGTTTTGCTGACAAATCTTCAATTTCAAGTCCGCTTTTGAAACTTTCTTTCAAGCAAATAAATTCGAAGCAAGCTATAAAGGTTATTCATGTTTCCAGATGATTTAGGCCTAGTTACCAATTTATCATTTTTCTAGGATGCTAGTTCAATACTGACAATTGTTGATCAATTTTGTAAAAATTTGAGACAAACGCAAAAAAGTTTTGATTGATATTTTTGGACATTTTGGCGTAGTGGCTTTCCCATGGTTTTTCGAGTGTGTTGATGCATTCAAGTAATGGAAACTTCACTTTGCCTCTTAACAAATTGCGTTAGTTTTATATGAAAATGTTAATCTAAAACTGTTTTGGAAAATCGGATAACTTTACTTTTTACTTATTTTTGATAACGCTCTACTGTTTGCAAAAATATCTTTGATCCAATAAAAAAAAATTCATTCGTTGAAAATAAATGAAATAACTTTGCTTTTACGAGTTTTGAAATAGGTTTTTATCTTGAATTATTTTAACCGAAGCAGATATAATCTTTTGAATTGCTCTCAGCTCAATGTAAACTCAAATAGAAAGTAAATGGACAGATTTTTATTGAAACAAAGAGTCTAAGTATCTCAAAAAATATGATTTCCTGAGAGTTAGAAGACCAAATTTGACGTCCGTCTAAAAGAAGAGTTGGCCGAGAGCAGAACGCGGCACAATGCAAAACGAAAATCGACGAATCAGAGATGATACATGTGGTGCGTTTTTTCTAAAAGAGTCAAACACTGCCCGAGAACGCCGCAGAAAGTTCTGGATCCTAGTTCATGTCATACTCAATTATTGCAAGTAAGTTATCTAATCTAAACCTCAGTATAGGCTAAATATATCATTTGTTTTCGATCTTTCATACAGGCTATTATCATATAGAAAACATTTTCTTGGAAAATGTGCACTTCAAAGTTTCGACATAAAATCGCAATTTTTTTCCATGCTCGCCTTTTTAAATGTTTGATGACTTTTTGCTTTAGCCATGTTGTTTTTGATTGAAAGCAATCAAGATGCAAGTTTAGAATAAAACAATGGAAAAACAGTTTTAAGATCCGTTTTCTCTGTGTCTATCATTTTGACCGAAATTTTCCAATGCAGCGAAAATTTCGATTGAGTTTGTTTTCAATCTGAGCAATTTTGATTGTAGATTCAAGATTTATACCAGCGAGTGTAAAAGTAAGGTTGACTAAAAACTTTAAATTAAAACTGACATAAATAAAAATTCAAACTAAACGATATCTAAAAGTTTTAATATCTGCCTCACATAAATTTTCAACTAAATAAGTTTTACAGTGTCAGCACACAGTTCATTGTGTCATTTGTTTCGACCTTTTAGTCAACTTCTTCAATAGTTGGTCCACTTTGCTCTGTAGATGCTCCATTCATGCCTCCCATAGAAGGACCAGCTCCCCCACTTGACTGTCCTCCGCTGTACAATTTACTCATCACGGGAGCCACTTTGTCCTGCACTTCTTTCATCTTATACTCAAACTCGTCCTTCTCTGCCGACTGATTTCGCTCCAGCCAAGTCTCAGTGTCCTTGATGAGATCGCAAACCAGCGATTTGTCTTTGGCGTCCAGTTTATCAGCAACTGCGGAGTCCTCGACTGATGATTTCACAGTGAATATGTAGCTCTCGAGGGCGTTCTTGGCTGAAACTCGAGCTCGGCAAGCGTCGTCTTCGGCTTTGAACTTTTCGACATCGGCAACCATTCGATCGATGTCCTGCTGACTCAGTCGGTTTTGGTCGTTTGTGATCTTAATCGACTCGTTCTTTCCAGTACTCGTATCCTTAGCAGTGACTGTCAGCATGCAGTTTGCATCAACGTCGAAAGACACCTCGATCTTCGGGACTCCCCGAGGTGCAGGCGGGATTCCTTGCAAGTTGAAAGATCCCAGCAGATTGTTATCCTTAGTCATTGCTCTTTCTCCCTCAAAAACCTGAATCGTGACTGCTGGCTGGTTGTCGGAATAAGTAGTGAAAGTGTTCTGAGCCCGGGTTGGAACTTTCGTGTTTCTCTCGACCAGTTTCGTCATCACTCCTCCGGCAGTTTCGATTCCAAGCGACAGAGGTACAACGTCGACCAGAAGAACGTCATTGATTGCATCGTCTTTGACGTTGGTCAGAACAGCAGCTTGAACTGCAGCACCATAAGCAACTGCTTCATCTGGATTGATAGAGCAGTTCAGCTGTTTGCCATTGAAGAATTCTTCGAGAAGTTTCCTGATCTTGGGAATCCTGGTTGAACCTCCGACCAGCACCACTTCGTGGATGTCACTTTTGCTCAACTGAGCATCTTTAAGAGCTCTTGTCACTGGTTCCAAGGTGCTTCGGAAAAGATCGATGCACAAGTCTTCGAATCGAGCTCGGGTGATGCTGCTGTAGAAATCGACTCCTTGGTGCAAGGAGTCGATCTCGATGGTGGCTTGGGCACTGGATGACAGGGTTCTCTTGGCATTCTCAGCTGCTGTTCTCAGTCTCCTCAAAGACCTTTTGTTCTGCGAGGGATCCTGCTTGTGCTTCCTTTTGAACTCCTCAATGAGATGTTTCACAAGTCGGTTATCGAAATCTTCGCCTCCCAAATGAGTATCTCCGGCTGTTGATTTTACTTCAAATATTCCGTCTTCGATTGTGAGAATTGAAACGTCAAAAGTTCCTCCTCCCAAGTCGAAAATCAAGACATTTTTTTCACCAGTCGCCTTCTTGTCCAGGCCATAGGCCAGGGCAGCTGCTGTTGGTTCGTTGATGATTCTCAAGACATTCAGTCCAGCAATTGCTCCGGCATCCTTGGTTGCGGCTCTCTGTGCATCGTTGAAGTACGCGGGAACTGTAATCACTGCGTCTTTTACAGCTGATCCCAAGTAGGCCTCGGCCGTTTCTTTCATTTTCATCAACACCATCGAGCTGATTTCCTCAGCGTGGAATCGTTTCATCTCGGCTTTGTACTCAACTTCAATTTGTGGCTTTTCGTTGTTGTTTGGCACCTTGAAAGGCCAGAGTTTGATGTCTCTTTGCACAGTTTCCTCGGAGAACTTTCGACCAATGAGTCGTTTGGCATCGAATACTGTGTTGCTCGGGTTCATCGCCGCCTGATTCTTGGCAGCCTCGCCGATCAGTCGTTCCGAGTCGTTGAAAGCAACATAGGAAGGAGTGGTTCGGTGCCCCATGTCGTTGGCAATAATCTCGACTTTCCCATTTTGAAATAACCCCACACAGGAGTAGGTGGTTCCCAAGTCAATTCCAATAGCGGGTGCTGTTTTTGCCATCTCTAGCGGTTTTCTCAATTTCAATGAAGTTTTTTTACTCAATATTTTGAACGGTTTTAATGCAATTCAAGACAAGAATTTAAAGCGCTGGTAGCAGATTCTTTATAGCAGTAATTATGCAAAACTCAGAATTCAGTTACAATTAATATTATTCCTGTGAAGTTAGGCGTTGGTATTTATGCTTGAAAACACCAATAATTCTAGAATGTCCTAGCAAAGAAAGTTCTAAACAAATTCTTGCAGTTTTGAATTGGAATTGTAATGTATATGGATGGCATTTAATTCTTTTGGCGAGAACGTTCTAGAATAGCTGTAATTTTGCTTGCACGGCTTAAGAAAATTCTATTGAATAGAATATTCTAGAATGCCTCTTCAAGTATGCTCTAGTCAACGTGCTATATTCCATTCTTCAGGGGAGGAAATACCACTTTATTTGCTTGAATTGCAGTCACAGTCGCTTGTTTTTCATCAAATATCAGGGTAGCATAAAAATCTGATGTATATTCTCAATTGATTTAAATCCGATTTTTATTGTTTATCCTTGATTTTTTTTTTGATTTTTATTGATAACGTTTTTGTTTCAAGAATCAACTATTTCAAAAGAAATTACTGATTCAGCACCCGAAAGCAGAACACAAGTTGGGTCTTTTCAGTTATACCCCCTAAATTATGAAAAAATGAAATTAAATTATTTATTATATAATGGGGACATTGTTACTAAGAAATGCACTATATTATTATGGGACTGGTATAAGCGAACGGTGGGTATTCACAAGTACCAAAATGATAAATCAGTCCCATTTACACCAAAATAGAAAATCAATCGCGTTAGTACCAAAAATATTCCATTAGCCAAAGATTACTACGCCGACTATTTTAAGCTCTTGGTTGAAGGTCGCCGCGATAACCGGCTCTAATTTTCCTATAGAGTCCTACCTCTGTTGGCAAGCTCGCAACATGTTGGCGCGACTGCGGCGGTCACTATTCTGCTGCTTAGTTTTCTTCTGTTTGAACAGGACAAAATTAATGTAAAAATTCGTTGGCTCACAATTCGACCAATCAGAAAACGAGTTGAATAATTTTGGTACAAATAGGACCGATTTTTTTTTTGGTACAAATGAACGTTGGTACAAATGGGTCTTCACCAAAACGAACCATTTTTACTTAATTGAGCACATGCACGAAAGAATTTTTCTGATATGATCTTTATCTTTGCGATGTAAAAAACGTAGCTGCCAGGGTTGACCTCCATACACCAAAAATGCTTATCATACAATTCCATACAACAAAAACCATTATCATACAATTCCATACATCAAGTGTATGGAGAAAATGCTTGTCATTACACCGAAGACTTTAGTCAAGGTGTTATGGTATCGTGTAACGGGGTTTTTTTTTTAATGTTGTCTGTTGTCAAGTGTCGACAAATAACGTCCACAGTTATCAATTATCATGTGGGCTGGACTATATCGCGCTATGTCACGTGGTTGCGTATGTTTGTTTCTTTATTTGTTCATCTTTATTTATTTAATTATCTGTTCTTCTATTTATTTAATTATGTTTAGTTTGCTTATATTTATTTATAATTTATGTATGTACATATTTATTTTTGTTTATTTTTATCACGTGTTTTGTTTATTTATTTAATTATTCTTTCTTTCATTTAGTTTTGCTTTTATTATTTCTGCGTGTATTTATTTAATTTATTTATTTTCATTTATTTATATTATGGGTCTGTTTGTTTGGTTATTTGTTCATATATATTTTTTCATGTCTATTTAATTATTTGTACATTTCACTTTTGCTTTTATTTATTTATTTATTTATTTATTTATGTATTTATTTATGTATTTATTTATTTATTTATGTATTGATTTATTTTTTTATTGCTTATTTATTTATCAGGTGTGTTTTGTTTATTTGTTGATATTTATTTCTATATTTATTTAATTATTCTTTCTTTCATTTAGTTTTGCTTTTATTATTTATGTATGTGTATTTATTTCATTTATTTATTTTCATTTATTCATATTATGGGTCTGTTTGTTTGGTTATTTGTTCATATATATTTTTTCATGTCTATTTAATTATTTGTACATTTCACTTTTGCTTTTATTTATTTATATATTTATTTATTTATGTATTCATTTATGTATTTATTTATTTATTTATGTATTGATTTATTTTTTATTGCTTATTTATTTATCAGGTGTGTTTTGTTTATTTGTTGATATTTATTTCTATATTTATTTAATTATTCTTTCTTTCATTTAGTTTTGCTTTTATTATTTATGTATGTGTATTTATTTAATTCATTTACTTTCATTTATTTATATTATGGGTCTGTTTGTTTGGTTATTTGTTCATGAGATATATATTTTTTCATGTTAATTTAATTATTTGTACATTTCAGTTTTGCGTTTATTTATTTATTTATTTAATTGTTTATTTATGTATGTATTTACTTATTTATGTATTGATTTATTTTTTTATTGTTAATTTATTTATCAGGTGTGTTTTGTTTATTCGTTGATATTTATTGCTATATTTATTTAATTATTTTCTTTCATTTAGTTTTGCTTTTATTTATTATTCATGTATGTATTTATTTATTCATTTATTTATTTATGTTTATTTATTTTTGGTTTGTTCGTTCATTTGTTGGTTTGTTCGTTCATTTATTTATTTATTTAGTTAGCGTCTTTGTTGTTTGATTGTGAAATTTGATGTTTTACTTCTTAGCTATGTAGTTAAAAGCAAAAAATGATTTTCAACTTATTGTTCTGTTTAGGATATTTTCAGAAAGATCTGTATATCACCAATTAGCGTACAACGATTTACAGGGAACGCTGCCAACGAGATTTGTCCACTTGCTTTTGGGTTGCAGCTACATCAAAAATGATTTTAAATTATTTATTTTAAAGATTTATCTATAGTTATATCTGTCCGGTAATTAATTTTCAAATTTGCTTTTGTATTTCTCAAAAAAGAATTTGTTGGAGCGTGGACTCAATAACGTAAAGCAAAATGTTAAATTTTATGTTACTTCTATTTTCAGTCATGTAATGGAGCCATTTCGACCCACGGGCATTGCAAATGATGACAACAGTTGCTATCTCAATTCTGTTCTTCAGCTTTTGTTGTCAAGCGCTTGCATCAGAGATCGGCTCAGTAGACTTACTGAATTTGACCATGGTGGCGTGTTAATTTCAACTGTGAAAGAGATATTTTGTCAAATGCTGTCCACAGAAAACTTTTTCATCAATGCGTCTACTTCCAAAGTTAAAATTCTCCAGCATCTTGATTTGAATTACAGCTTCTCATATACCTATGGACATCAGCACGATGCTTCCGAGGTACTACTGTCAATTATCAATGCATTTAAATCTGAGGGCCGTAGTTCAAATTTATTGTAATGGTTTCTATAACACAATGATGGTGATATAATTTTTTTTTCAGAAATGACGTCCACTGTTTTGTTTGGCGATTCTATGTTAAAAGGATTTAACGAATACCTTATCAGACTTTCCGATACGTCGGTTATAGTGAAATCTGGACTGAAAGTCAGTACCATCAATGACACTCATGTCGAAGAGATAAAAGCCTTGAAACCAGCTCGCGTTATTCTTGCTGTTGGTGCAAACGACATGTGTCCCCGCCAACAAGATATTGTGTTACAACCAAGCATTGCCCATACCGATGCTTCTCTCGCGAGCTTGGCAAAGGCCACACTTGCTATGTTGATTATGTCACTTGCTTCTCCTCTTCGCGATGCTGGCTTTGAAGTCCTGCTCCTTTGGTAACATTTTCATAAAACGACTAATTCAGTAATAATAATAATGTACATTGTTCATCAGGTATCAGTTTTGCTGTTTTTTTAATGAAGTTTAGAGAAAAAATAAACTACATTGTATTTTTAGTCCAATTGTTCGCAAGGACTTTTACCGTGAAATCCGCGCGTTGGATACAGCCATCAAGTCTTCAGATTGGTCATTTATTCCCGTTGGACTATTGCGCTACACACATTTATCTACCGATGGTGTTCATTTGTCGCAAATGGGCTGCCTGAATTTGGCGAAATTAATTTGTGAGAGAGTATCCTTAACTCTTTTGACATCTGCCGTGGTAAATACTTTTTGTCTATTCTATTTTTTTTTCTGTTGTATTCCACTGAGCACTTAAATGTCATAATTTTATTTTTGCAGCCGTTTACTATCAGCTCATCTTCAGTGCTTGGCGTCTCACAAATTTCCCTTGACGTTTGCAATAAATCTGTTTTGAGCATAGCTGATTCCCTCTTTGCAGAGCTTTACAAATCATACAAACAGGAATCTTGGACACATGTCAACGGGCGCTCTGTCAAGTGGATTTCAGAGGTTCCATACTCATATGGAAGCGTTCGCCACCCGCCCAACAACTCATGGTCACCACAGTTGTTGTTGTTAAAGACCTTGTTGGAGAAAGAACTCAAAGTTTCCTTCAACAGTGTCCTCATCAACATTTATTGTTCCCTCGAAGAGGTAATATCACAAAATACCGTCATAACAATTAGATAACATAGAAAATGTACTTTGCCTATCAGTATTTTTAGGGAGTTGGATTTCACGCTGACAACGAACGTAGTATTCCTGATTATCCAACCATTGCCAGCGTATCCCTTGGAGCCACCCGACGCTTTGCAATGAAAAGAAACGGGACCACGCGCTCTGAAGTTTCTGTTTTGTTGCCACATGGTAGCGTTTTTACCATGCTCGGAGCTTGCCAGAAAGACTGGAAGCACAGCATCTTGAGAGGATCCACTGCACCCGATGGATCGTTTGAGAAATGGAATGGCGTCCGTTTAAATTTGACGTTCCGTAATCAGTTTGACGCTGAACGTTGAAGTTTTATGTCATTTTTATTACTTGACGGTTTTTGAAGGTTGAATTTGAACTTGATTTCGTGGAATACTTAACTGATATCTTTACCTGATTGAAGTTTTGTTCATGAATACCAACATTGGTACATTTTTCAGATCTGTGTCATGTCTTTGCAAGTATTTTTTTTGTTTTTTGGATTTGTTTTTCGGATTGTTTTACTGCTACATACTGTCAATTCTGAGACTGCTTCACAATTTCTCAATATAATAAGACTAATAGCTTTTTTTCATTTTAGCTCTTTCTTGTAAGTATATGTGTAAGTACGATTTTTAGTTATTCCGGAGACCCATATGAGTCTACATGCCAATTTATACGATTGGCCGATTGAAACGACAGGAGGCGTTTTGCTACACATACAAACACAATCTTTTGTATTTTATTGTAGCTATAGAAATTGATCTACAATGCGTAAGTACGACATTTAGTTCTACGATTGTTATTTCAGGTCCTTTGTCAATATTTCAGGCTCTTTGTCAATATAGCAAAATTTTGGTGTATATATGTGTTAGTAAGATTTTTAGTTCTACAACGTTTATTCAGGCTCTTTGTCGATATAGCAAAATATTGGTGTATACATGTGTTAGTACGATTTTAGCTCTAGAATTGTTATTTCAGGCTCTTCGTCAATATAGCAATATTTTAGCGTATATATGTGTTAGTACCATTTTTAGTTCTCGAACTGTTATTTTATGATCTATGTCAATATATCAAAATTTTAGTGTATACATGTGTTATTACGATTTTTAGTTCTCGAACTGTTATTTCATGATCTTTGTCAATATATCAAAATTTTATTGTATACATGTGTTAGTACCATTTTTAGTTCTCGAACTGTTATTCCATGATCTTTGTCAATATAGCAAAATTTTGGTGTATACATGTGTTAGTACGATTTTTAGCTCTAGAACTGTTATTCCATGATCTTTGTCAATATAGCAAAAATTTGACGTATACATGTGTTAGTACGATTTTTAGCTCTCGAACTGTTATTTCATGATCTTTGCCAATATAGCAAAATTTTGGTGTATACATGTGTTCGTACGATTTTTAGCTCACGAACTGTTATTTCAGGCCCTTTGTCAATATAGTAAAATTTTGGTGTATACATGTGTTAGTACGATTTTTAGTTCTAGAAGTGTTATTTTATGATCTTCGTTGATATATCAAAAATTTAACCTATACATGTGTTAGTACGATTTTTAGTTCTAGAACTGTTATTTCAGGCTCTTTCTCGATATAGCAAAATTTTGGCGTATACATGTATTAGTACGATTTTTTGTTCTAGAACTGTTATTCTTCAATTATTAGTTGTTCAAGTTGTTTGGTTTTTGCTTCAGTTTCTATGCCTTCGGTGTATTGCGCGTAGCGCCTATGTTACAATTTTCATACATTTTCGAAAAACAATAGATAAAAACTAACATTTTCTGGGGCCTTTTCAGAACAGTTAAACAGGCTGGTAACGGAAAACAACTGAATTAAAATTTTTTAAAAATGCGTACCATACAATTTCCGTATATGAAAATTGTATGACAAGAATTTTCGCCATAAGGAATGATTTTTTTTCAGAAATTTTTCGCAAACCAGTTTTTGGAAACTTCAAATGAATTGGTAGCGTTTTTTTAAAGGATAAGAACAGAACGCGAAAACAAATCCGTTCAAATCCAAATAAAGGAGAAGCAATTAAAAACGAAAAAATAGAAATTTCGTTTAATTTTTGTTCTATCGAAAATGCTTTGATGCAAGCAACTTTTTCTGGAATTTGTCACCCTTTAGCGTTAATAGGGATTGCAGATAGGTAATAAAGCCCTATAATTTGTAATTTAATCGTTTTCCATAGAAAAACAAATCAAAAATGAAAAAAAAAACTTTGGAAGATTTTTTTCTTTTGAGCTCACAAAATATACATTTTACAATTCCATACCCAAACGTGATATCTGTGATTTAGCGATGTTTTGTGAAAAAACTATGATTGATATGTAGTGAGAGAAAGCGAGAGAGAGTATTATTTCAAATGTTTCATTCTTTTTTCAATTTCTACCAATTTTTAAATCTATCAAAATTTTTTTTTTCTTCAAAATTCACATTGATTAGCAATATTAATGCCGTCTAACTCATCAATTTCTTATTTGAGCAATATTTGTCTCTTGGGTGTCATGGCAAAAACAAAAAAAAACAAAGCGAAACTAAAAAACTATTTTTTTCATATTAAAATAGCTAGTTAAAAAGTCGAACTTTATTTGGAGAAAAAAAGCCCCGAGCACATATATTCAGTCACTTTTCTTCAAACAAACAGTATGAATTGTATTAGGGCTTTAAAACGGTTGAAATATTGCGTTAAAAGCAAGAATTTGGGGTCAAAAAATGGAAGATTTCAATTTGGGGGCTTCATTTGGAACGAAACTCGCTTCAAAAAATGTTCATGTACATATTTTTCTTGATATCCATGTATAGCTTTCGGAAAAACAATAACAGAGCTACTTTGGTGGCACTTCTAAAAAGTTAGGCTGTTTTAGCAGTATATTAGCAAAAGTTAGATACATTCTAATTAATTACATGCAAAGTTAGTGTGGTTGCCTTTAGTTTATTACATTCCAAATTTTTAAATCAAATTTGATTTTTGTGCATTTTAAAGCTCCTGGATGTTTGCTGTTTTGTCGCTCGTGCTTGCGAAGCTGCAGCTTCGCCTCTTTGTTATAATTTTTATAGTTTTCTTTTCAGAGGAAATGCATTTGTGGATGTCAGAACTAGTAGATTCACGATGTATTTACCGAACTGCAGGATGTTTGCCGGAGATAGTTCACGCAGATATAAAGGTTTTTTTAATAAATTAAGGTTTTTTTTTAAATTTTTTTGAGATAACCTCCTCTCCAGTATTGACCCCTTAGGATCAGATTAGGATCCTGCTGCTATCTAAATAATTCAGAAGATTTCCAGCAGAAAATTAAGAAACTGAGGTTGCAACTTCTAAAAACAAATTTGGTTCTCAGGTTTTCTTCTCTGTTCATTCACGGCTTATTAGATGGGCTTCAATGTAATTTGTGCCGCATTTGAAGAAAAAAATCTCCGAAAACTGTTTGTCATACAATTCTCATAAATGACAAATTTTTAGTCATACAATTTCCATTTATGGCAAAAATGTTAGTCATACAATTTCCATTTATGGGGAAATGTTTATGATAGAGATTTCATACAAATTTCTGTACGTATTGAATTGTATGAAAAGAAATTTCCCATTTATGAGAATTGGATGATAAGCATTTTTAGTCAACCCGGGTAAGTACAAGTTGAAAGTGTGCGTAGAAGAGCGAATTAGGTAATCAATGTATGGTTACGTAGCAGTATTTAGACAACTGCGTATTCCTACTTGTCAGTAAGCAGACAAATACTGTGTTAACCAATCAGACTCGAGATAAGGAACAAATTAATAAATAATAATTATTTATTTCGAAAGTTTGCTTTCTCATCTTGATTCTGATTGGTTAATACAGTATTTGTCTGCTTACTGACGAGTAAGAATACGTGGTTGTCTAAATACAGACCGCACTCCTCAATGTATATACTGCACAGCTGCTATATTGTGCGCGGGTTACGGGTGGAATATTCACCCGCGACTAAACTGTCTGATGGCGTCACAACAGCAGATCTGCAATCTCCCCTTTTCGTTGAAAACTTTTGCCTATGTCATTCTGATCAAGATAGTAGAAAAAAGGAAGACAATTTCTAATTCAAGCATATTAAGGCTATCGTTAGTTCTATTGCACGCATCATTCATACATTGCACTACGTTTATAAAGACTTGTATCTTTATTTTGGACACAGAATTGATAGAAAAGTTGACGTTTTAGACATTTGTACACTTATAAGCAGTATATTCACATTAAATCACATTAATTAAAATTGGGTAAATTTCAAGACGCAATCCAATTCAGATAATTCTCAGTTGACGATAAGTTTTGGAGGTTTGAAGAACTGGGTTAGTTTTTCCAGCCTGTCTTTGCTCTCCGAGCCGACTGAGTTGTCGGACAAATCCAGAGTGTTGAGACTGTTACTAGCCACCAGAGGAGTCAAACCTCTGATTTTGTCTGGATCGATATTGCACCTGAAATGAAGCTTATCAGCTTTCTTTCAAACTCTTTTTCGTGTTTGTTTTAGCCAGTTTGAAGGTATATCCTCAAAAACTTCAGAAAGACTAACTTTTTCTGCTGAAAATCAAAATCAAGATTTGGTTGGAAGCTTCCACAAACGCCCAACAAGACTGCTCGTATCAGAGCGACACCGTGTATGTTCCGAATGCACTTAATCGCCAATACAGTAGAGTTCGATTTACAAAAATGGGGTAATTTAAAAAAAAATACTTTTGCTTTCTGATTTTTTGGAAAATCATCATTCCATACGCTATTGAATACAAACTGATATTTTGTTCAAAGCTTCGAAGGAAGCGCTGAAGCGTAATATTGATGCTTGGATGTTTTTTAGTCAATTTAATTACACCGAAGACTTTAGTCAAGGTGTTATGGTATCGTGTAACGGGTTTTTTTTTTTAATGTTGTCTGTTGTCAAGTGTCGACAAATAACGTCCACAGTTATCAATTATCATGTGGGCTGGACTATATCGCGCTATGTCACGTGATTGCGTATGTTTGTTTCTTTATTTGTTCATCTTTATTTATTTAATTATCTGTTCTTCTATTTATTTAATTATGTTTAGTTTGCTTATATTTATTTATAATTTATGTATGTACATAATTATTTTTGTTTATTTTTATCACGTGTTTTGTTTATTTATTTAATTATTCTTTCTTTCATTTAGTTTTGCTTTTATTATTTCTGCGTGTGTATTTATTTAATTTATTTATTTTCATTTATTTATATTATGGGTCTGTTTGTTTGGTTATTTGTTCATATATATTTTTTCATGTCTATTTAATTATTTGTACATTTCACTTTAGCTTTTATTTATTTATTTATTTATTTATTTATTTATGTATTTATATATGTATTTATTTATTTATTTATGTATTGATTTATTTTGTTATTGCTTATTTATTTATCAGGTGTGTTTTGTTTATTTGTTGATATTTATTTCTATATTTATTTAATTATTCTTTCTTTCATTTAGTTTTGCTTTTATTATTTATGTATGTGTATTTATTTCATTTAGTTATTTTCATTTATTCATATTATGGGTCTGTTTGTTTGGTTATTTGTTCATATATATTTTTTCATGTCTATTTAATTATTTGTACATTTCACTTTTGCTTTTATTTATTTATATATTTATTTATTTATGTATTCATTTATGTATTTATTTATTTATTTATGTATTGATTTATTTTTTTATTGCTTATTTATTTATCAGGTGTGTTTTGTTTATTTGTTGATATTTATTTCTATATTTATTTAATTATTCTTTCTTTCATTTTGGTGTATACATGTGTTAGTACGATTTTTAGCTCTAGAACTGTTATTCCATGATCTTTGTCAATATAGCAAAAATTTGACGTATACATGTGTTAGTACGATTTTTAGCTCTCGAACTGTTATTTCATGATCTTTGCCAATATAGCAAAATTTTGGTGTATACATGTGTTCGTACGATTTTTAGCTCACGAACTGTTATTTCAGGCCCTTTGTCAATATAGTAAAATTTTGGTGTATACATGTGTTAGTACGATTTTTAGTTCTAGAAGTGTTATTTTATGATCTTCGTTGATATATCAAAAATTTAACCTATACATGTGTTAGTACGATTTTTAGTTCTAGAACTGTTATTTCAGGCTCTTTCTCGATATAGCAAAATTTTGGTGTATACATGTATTAGTACGATTTTTTGTTCTAGAACTGTTATTCTTCAATTATTAGTTGTTCAAGTTGTTTGGTTTTTGCTTCAGTTTCTATGCCTTCGGTGTATTGCGCGTAGCGCCTATGTTCTAAGCGTTTTAGACAAAAATTTTTAATACCAACTGAAAGATATTGTTGTCTGGAGCTCAAACGTAAAAAAAAATTCTACCTGTAACCATTCTGTTTAAAGTTATGAAGGTTTGAAAATAGCTAATTTGGCCAATTTAGAATAATTTACGCGGGTCAAATTGCTTTCTGATAAGCGGCGGATTAAATCGTTTTGAATTGAATTGAGGCAGGTCATTGGGTAGTATTATTAGGATACTCTATTTATGAGACACTAAATGCATCCCTTTATACTTTACATCCGAATGGGGGGATTAAATGAAGAGAGCAAACTGCTCGTATATCAGTGCAAACCTTGAATGATCCGACTGCCCCTTAATCGGCAGAGAATAATTTTGTTCAAAATATTAGAAAAACATAAATTTTAGAAAATATCAAACATCAAGTGTGAAAATTTGAATTGTGCGAAATTAATGCGACCGATTAGCTTGCCTCTATTCAGTTTGAAACAATTTCATAGTGCGTCATAATAAGCCAGGCAAAAAACTTTCGTTACAACTTCAGCATGAATAAAATCTTCAAAGCGCGCATAAGTTAGTCCAGTGAATGGCCAAACAGGCAACTTTCAAACCTTTTTGAATTTGAACTCAGGGAGTTGGTTGATACCTTCAACGTAGTAAATAAATTGTTCAAAGAATTTTTCTTGCGATCGCCGAAATTTGACAGAATAAAAAGACACCCCCAGGCATAAATTATCCGCATTTCTTCGAAGGTCCAAACGGCAAATGAAACAGTTTTTTCTTTTCAATTTTAAAGATTATTTCGTCATTTTTTCAAACAAAAAGTTTTCAAAAGGCTTTAAAGTGCGAAAGATCTGCAATTCGAGGCGCACAAGGCTCCGTGCTCATTGCTTGAGGATGTAGCAACATTTGCCAGCCCAGAAATAGTAGAAAAAAATATATAGTTTGTAACCAGGGGCACATTATGTCAATAATTTTTGTTGTGGATAAATGATCTTAACAATTTAAACTTGAGTTACCTTTTCAGAGATAGCACTTCCAAATTTGGTAAAGTAGAGACTGAATTGCTCAGTTCAGTCAGAACTTCAAGGTCACAGAGGTCATTCTCAGACAGGTCAAGAGAGTGGAGGTTCTGCATTGCGCGTAAGGAGTGCAAGAAATTCAGCCAATCAGAAGAGCGCAATGCGCCTTGCTTAGCACAACCAATCAGCTTCAGTTCTTTCAGCCGGTTCTCGGAACTCACTGTAAAACAGTAATATTAAGTGGGGGAGGGGGGTACTATTAACTTTACTTTCCAAAGGTAATGAACCGGTCTAAAAACTTGAAATTGAGGTATTGCACTCAAGGTTTTTTTCTCCTGTACCGCATCAGACAAAATTTCTCGCCATATCTTAAAATTTTATATCTAAAAAAAATTATATGGAAAACCTTAAAACACTGGAAGCGTCTGTCTGCTTTTTCAATTTCCGGAAGACGAATTTTTCAAAGTATCCCAATTTTTGAAATTGCTTTGTTTTATACATTTTCAACCAAGCTAGTTTGAGCCAATTTACAAAATATGGGAAAAGGACTGAAAACTGGGATTTTTTAGTCAACGCTTTTCCAAAACCGCCAAAAAAATCCCTTAGACCTATGTAAGCCAAGCCTGAACTCACATTGAATAATGACATTCTGGAGTGTTTGGTTGACGTATTTGTCCACAAATTCAGTCTCGTCTTGCTTCGAAGGTCCACTTAGAGGAATTTCATCTGGCTTCTCAAACGGAGACGCAAAAATTTTGCTGTTTTGAGAAAAGTACACGTTTTTACAGCTGAAACAAATGATAATATATTATTTAGAAAAAAAAACGTATCATAATCTTTACTTGTTTGCCTATTTCTCTCCACTTTTAGTGATTGTCTAAGTCTTGTAGCATTGAACAACTACTTCGAACCATAATAAGATTGGATACAAAAAACTACAAATGTGTCCATGAAATTTAGCGGCGACCTCAAAGAGAAACATGGCTTTATTTGTTTCTACGGTTTGCCCAGTAGAAAGCCGACATATTTTTGGCCCATTTTCAAAACCCACGGGCCGTGTTGATATTTTTTTTTCACCTAGGGGAGAACCTCCCTTAGGTAAAACATTTACTACACACACCATGCGTTTGTGTCTATTATGAAAAAATGTCCAAATCCAACAATCAAAGTTCTATCAAAGATTGTTCTGATAATAGTATTTCCTGTTTTCGACTGAATGGTTCTCTGCAGACCTGAGAGAGGCGAGTGATTTGGAGTGATGGGCCGCAATGTCCACTATGTGATCACTCAACTCCTCCGTCTGCTGCGACTCGGAACAACTTTCAAACCTCATCATCTGCAAAATCAATACACTAAAAGAGTCGGAAAATAGGAATTTTTAACTGATAAGTATCCATAGATTATTGCATTTGATGCAATTTGTTAGAAGTTGATGTAAAAAACCTTCTAGAAACACATCCAATTTTCAAATTAAATTCTGTTGTTGCAAGAAGTATTTCGTTTGCCTATTATTCAGCAAATCACAAAACACAAAAATATTTGATAAATCAGCAAATCATAAAATTATTCTTCTTCATTCAAAATGGTACTTCAATTCAACATATAACTCAAAAAATGTCCTTTCAAAAAATTCAGTTTCATCTACCTTGAGGGAGTTTTGGGTAATCAAAGCTTTAAGAGAAGCTAGGAAATCGTTGAATTCTGGCTGGATGAAGTGACAATTCAGGAAGGTCAATTGGACAAAGTTGCGGCGGTCTTCGGGAAGGGATCTGATACTGGATAAAGTCTCCGAAATCTAAAAAGTAATAAACTTGAACATTAAGTAGTCATTTATTTTTTCGGTCGAATTTGGTCAATGGCCAAAGCACTTACCCATTGCTCGTCGCATAATGTGCTTTCAATAACCAGTTTCAGCTCCGTCGACTCTTTTTCTAAAAAAAAATTCCCTCAAAATGAGCAAAACCAACCATAACTGCAAATCTTTATGCATATTAGAAATAAGAGCACTTTTGATACTATAGTTTTATATCTTCTGTAACCAAATCTAGAAAATTTAAAAATAAAATAATCTGAAAACTCTTTTAATCTCAACTAAAAACTTTATTCGTATGTATCTTAACAACCTAAACCTAGAAAGGGTAAAAATATAGTCATAATTAGTGTTACCTTCGTTTTGAGGCACTTCACGTACACTTCCACTGACACTCTCAGAAAGCGACTGCTCATCATACTCGTAACTCTTTATCTCATTCACCACAGGGTTAAACTTCACATTCTTGCCGTTAGGGGGCGACCCAGGTGACTCATCCTCCTTTTTCACATGTTTCCCATCTTCCTCACTCGAAATATTAATCATAGAATCGGTTTCGGCTTCCGCATTTTTAGCATTCTTCAAGGAGACTATAAAACGATCATCCTCGTCTGTTCCTTGAATGTAATTGGCTGCCAAAACTTGTTCGGCAGTTTGACTCGGCACGCTGTCTATACTTCGCAGACTTCGCGTGTCGGCGCCCTCGGGCTCCATGCTTGCCGCGTCGTCGTCCATCTGCTCGCCGGGTGTTGCGTCATCAGTGATGTCATATTCGTTTTGGAAGTCGCCTAGAAAATAATTAGGAATTAAAGTTTTCTTTCGATGCAAATTTAACGTTCAGTTGTCTTACTTGGCATTTTTTGTAAGCAATGAACTTTATTCCAGACAAATTGATCAAAAATAAAAAAAAATTATTGGTAGATCTAGCTTTTCTCGACATTTTGAAAACTTTTTTTTCGACTTAACGGCTTTCGTCTCACTTTTTTCTGTCTGCTAGTTTGTCGTACTATATTTGTGTTGTATTAAACGTTTTCTGCTTTATGGTTGTCGACTTAAACTCTGTCAGTTCAGTTTTTACAAAAGCCATGCTTGTGTTATAGTATGAACTATCTTTTTTTTCCAACCTATGTCGCAAATATTGTTGCGATAAAACATTGTTTCGATAAAAAGTGTTCATTTTGATCAATAACCACCTATTAAGTACAGGTAATTCTAAAGATTTTATTACAGACTAATATTGTTCCGACTTTCGTAACAATAGTAACGGAAAATTTGTGCTCGGGGTGTTTACTTTTCTTCAGACGAATTTCGACTTTTAAACTAGCCATTTTTGTTGGAATTTTTCGTATCATTCAAAAAGTATTGTTGTCCTGAGCTTCAATTTGGAAAGATATTTCACCGGTGATAATTTTTCGTAAAGTTATGGGAGTTTAAAAATTGCCATTTTGAGAATTAACGCGCGATATATTTCGCCCTATTAACGCGTAAGCGGAGCTTTAATCCGTCATAAAAATCGTTCCATATTGGTTGAAGGAAGCTTATTTGCCATAATTGATTTGTTACTAGGAGCGAAATATATCACTTTGTACTTAATATGGCGTGTGAGGGGATGATTTTTTACAAAAAATCTGAAATTAAAAAAAATCCAATTTATTTTCATTACATTTAATTTTTTCCTTTTATTACTGCTGCATAGACTGCTCTGTAAGTTGCGGCATGTTAGTTGTTAAAGTTCTTTTTTTTAAAATTAACTGGTAATACTAATGCGTCATAATTGGCGTGAGTCAATTGAGTCACCTAATTGGCGTGAGTCACTTTCACGAAGACTCATTCAGAAATTTTGCAGTTTTACTCATTCAGTTTTTCCCAGTAGCGTTATCGGTCATATTTTTGCTTGTGTATGCGAAGTGCAGCAACGCCTTTGTGTCAAATTGTGTATACCACCTTGAAATTCTACATATATATAATTCGTGGACACCATGTGGGCAGTATATGCAATTTTATAGCTTATTGGCTGACGACTTTATCTTTTCTACCCAATTTTGTTAAGATCAATAAGAATCTGGCACTCTATTTTTTATTGCTGAAAAAAAATATTCCCTCAAGGAAGTCAGTAAAAAACGTAAACAAAATTAATCATGAAAAATCTGTTACTTTTTTAACTTTTTTTTTGGTTTTCTAGTTCATTCTTCAATTTCATCGATCGAAAACATCTTTGCTACTTCTTGAGGGCCAAGCTATTTTAACCCTATACTTGTTGTATCGCAAGGGTTGCAACGCTCAGCTTCGACTCTGTGTAGAAAATGTTTTTACACAAAAAAACTGTTTCTTACTGCTGTCCAAGTTAGTTCTAGAATGCGACTGAGAATCAGTGAGCGACTCCCCATCGTTCATGTCCAGAATGTTGGGAGTGTAGTCTTCGTCTCCTTCGGCGAGGAGGTTCTCGGTCGAGCTGAAGTCGGGTGGGTCGAAGATGTTCACCCCACTCTCCGCCGACTCACCTCCTGCCGAGTGAACCACACTCACTGCACTGCGGTTGGATGCTGCACTCACAGCTCCTGAAAAAATACATCACCTAATTGAGGTGGCATTTTTTGAAAAATTTATTCAATCACCATTCATGCAAATGGTATCAAAAAAATAATTATTCAGTTTGAGAAATTTGAAATGGAGTTTGAGCTAGCTTTTTCATTGCAAATCGTAAATTAGAACCATGTCATTAATAGAGAGCCTTAAAAATTTGAAATATTCTTGTTCAAATCTAAAAGGGTGAAAAATTATCCAAATTTGTTCATTGCAATACTCACCAGTCAAATTACTTTTTTGCCTTATCGTTCAGAAAAGGAAAGAGCAAAAGGGCAGAATGATCGTCGCTACTTACATTCTGACCAGCAATTTCCTCTGTTTAAAAGCGCAAATATCACTGATTATAACCGATTTATTTTGTTTCAAAGCGTGATTATTACTAACTCTTGATATTTCTCTGGTTATTATTGGGATCCTGCTTCACACTCATCACAGATCCAGGCCTGACCACGTCCTCCGCCTCATCCTCCCTCATCTGCTGTCTACTCCGAAGTCTGTCTCTATTGCTAGACTGCATGTCATCAGTCTGACTATTTTCCCTCGAACCCACTGCTTGTTTCCTCAATCTGCACTTGGAACTCTTCTTGTCTTTAGGCGGCTCCGGATGCCCCGATTTGTCTTTTTGGGACTCTAAAAAATGTTGGCGGATCAACAAATTTAGAGAACTTCAAAACTGTATAAGCACAAAAATTCGTGGTCGTTCATTAGTGGACTTTCATACATGTACCATTAACCTAAATCAACACTTGTACGTGTCCAGCAACTATACGTTTTTTTGATAGATTTACAAAAAGTATGGTAAAAAATACAATTTTTCTCGATTACAAGTCTAATTCCGGATTGCAGAATGGAACAATTTAGCCGTTGCTACAGAAGTATCACATAAAGTTTCCATCATAGTTCATTTAGTGCATCGATTTCTAATTAGAGCGTTTTTTGCTAGTGGGGAAATTTTTATGATTTTTAAGAACCCGAAGTACAATCGAAAGCGTTATAATAATTGAGGTTTCTGCGATTCGCAGATGACCTATTATATGAAGGGCTATCCAGCCTGTCTAAACATAGTCCGTTTATCTTATAATATGACACCGCGCTCGATGATGAACAACTGCTCTTTAATGAAGACATAACCCTAGGCCCAGTGGCGTGCGCAGAAATTTTTTTAAGGGGGGTTTCGAAAAATTTACAAAATGATTCGATAATGATTGTCACTTTTTGGAAAATGACAAAAAAATGCGTTTTTTTCGGCGCGCGCTCCCCCCTCAAATTTGGTTACATCGGCGCCAAAGGCGCTTTTAGAAAAATTTTGCGGTTGGTCATCCAAAAATGGATGTCGTAAAGTTAAACCAAAGGGCCCTTTGGGAAAAAATGGCAACCAGAATCGAGTGCGGGGAATTGAGTGCTATGGCTTAGGCCATAGAAAAATCCTTGAACATTCTAACTGATTTTAAATGTGTTTGAGTTAAATTTTTGTTAAAAACTTGATCAAAAAATTAACAAAAAACTTCTCCATTTTTTACCGGATTGTCAAAAATACAAAAAATTGGTCGAATATTTTTCAACGACGCAATATAAGATGACTAACCCAATAAAAATAAGCCGAGACCATTTATGCGAAAAAAAAGACGGAAAATTTTTTTTAAATCAGAGTTAAAAAATTTACAAATAACAAAACGAAAGCAGACAAACGATAATTCTGACGATTCAAACTTTCCCAGAGAAAACATTTTCAGTTTTATTTATGCATCTTGAAAAAAAGTTGAATCGTCGGCGATGGACGTGGCCTGTTCTGTGAGCTCAGTGACAGTGAACTGTCGTAGTTGAAAACCGTGTTGGTGGGTGGCTGTCTGGAGTTGAGATGTTAGGGTGCTCAAGAAGCATCTCTCCAAAATCTTCACTGCTGGGAAAAGTAGGGAGATCGGCCTGTAAGAGGAGCTTTCTCCAGCTGGTTTTCTACGCTTCAGGATCGGACTGATGACGGACTTCTTCCAGATTGAGGGGATTTGGCACCTTGCAAGTGATGTGTTAAAAACTCCGCGAGGTAGTCAATAGCGGAATCTCCCAGGTGCTTGAGTTGTAGCATGGTGATGCCGTCAGGTCCTGCTGCTTTTGAATTCCTGGCCTGTTTGATAGCCTTGAATGCCTGGAGGCGGGAGATGGTAGGGGCGTCTTCGACTGATTGTCTTTTGATCTCCTTGGTTATTTGAAGGGAAGGGCTCGTGGTTTTATGGATGGCCGGAGAGGTTAATTGGACGTTGAAGAGGTGACTGATCTGTTTTGGGTCGGTGAAGTTTTCTTACTTTGTTCAGCTTGAATTTAATCGGTTCATTTCTGTTGCTCTTTGGAGTCTTGTTGTCCAGGGCTTGGATAGTGCTCCAAAGCTTCTTTGTGACTGCCCGGTGATCAAAGATCTCAAAGATGTCCGTTGATCTCAACAAATTGCTTCCATTTGGCAGTCTTCTCCTCTCGTATTGCCATCTGGATGCAGTTATTGAGTGTCTCGACGCAAGGCGAGGTTGGATCGGCTGTTCTCAGAGCGTCTCGCTCCTTTATACATCTGGCTGCTCTCATATGGATGTCGTTCTTGATTAGGTAAGCAGCGATCTCACTTAATTACATACCCAACTTACCTACCGGCAGTTAATTCCCATCAACAAAACTACTCCAATTAACCTAAAACCAACGAATGCTTCTCATTAGAATAAAACCCTGACTAAATATAACGGAAGAATTATGCAAATATACAAAAAACATGTCCTTAAAGAAACTTTTTCAAGTGAAACTACTCTAAACACTCGAATTTTTGTGCGCTGCTCTTAGAAACTTAGATTTCAACAACAAATAACCCCAGAAACTATTTATCAATATCCTTAACTTTTTTTTATTAGCAAACGTTAAATTCATATGTAGAGTAGAATGTAACCGAGATTGAATTTGGGTAATCATAACTTTAAAAAATCTTTTTACACAATAACAAGGTTTACGCAATGTTTTGGGCAACATTTAAAATAGAAATTCTAGTACAGTTATTTGATCTCATATTGTTTGCTCTCAATTTTGACTGAATTTGTAATTCGGTTAAGCGAGTCGTTCGTCGGCTGTTGTCGTCTGGTCGTCCGATCTGCCCGACTTGACGACGTCGAAGTCCGAGTTACTTTCTGTGTCCGAGAAACCCTCGGCAAAATAACTTCTAGTCTGCTTGGGTTTAAATGCTAAAACAGAAAAAATGTGTTGGAACAAAGTGCGTTGTTAACATTGCCATAAAGACCAGAGGAGACAAAATAAAAATTAAACTGAAATTTAAATACATTTACGTTTTTAAATAAATTCTTTTTTGATATGTTCTTTTTATGAGAATCCTTCTCTTTTTTATGGCTCAAAGTTCATTGTTTTGATATTTCGACTCTTGAATCAAAATGTTTGAATTTAGTTGACTGAAACTTTACAAATAAAAAATTTGAAGTGTTTTTTAAAACATAACAGCTCAGTCAACGTTTTGTAATTTTGGGTCGTTAACAAAAAATACCCAATTTTTGATAGAGAAACTGTGAATAGAAAATGAAAAAAAGAAAAGAAAGATTTCAAGAAGATTATAAACTACTTACAATATAAATCTGAAGACAGAAGAAGAAATCAGTCGGGTGAAGTGAGAGCCAATCAAGTTGCGTGGATCGGTTGCATTGCACACGACACGAGTACACAACACGACTTGAAGAAGATAAATAGAATAGAAATTTCCACTCGGGTCACGAGAGTTCAGAAGAGTAGTAAAAAGTAAGGTCAAGGTGTGAAAAGAATAATCAGTCAGTTAAGAATGCACTTGCAGAGAAATAATAGTCAGATCTATTAGAGAATTCAAATACCAATTTAACATGATTTATTATAATTTAACGCTTTAACTTTGGGCATAGAACGTCCAATCCATACAAAATTATGGCCAATGTACTATAAAACACCTTGATTGAGCAATCAAAAGTACTCAACAAAAAATCATGATACATAATTTTCACTGAAGATAAAATTGAGAGAGAAAAGAACGTTATTAGATATAAAATTAAGATTTTTTTAAGAAAACATTGTATTAGAAATTATTGTATTTTTTTAGAAAACTAATTTTTTCGGCATTTTAGCCTTTTTTATGTTGGTTGTAATTATTCCAACTTTATTTGTTAAAGTTTCAAATTTAAGTTTTTTTTTCTTTTTTTTTCCCGTCTTGTTAGGTTTCGGCATATATTATATCGGCTCAGTGGGTTCATATCGCGTTACATGGTTCAACGAGCCTTTTTTTGTGTGTATGTGTTTTGAGGTGGACTTGATAACCATTTATTAGTCTTGAGTTTTTTTGAGTACTTTTTTTGGCTTTTTTTTCTGTTTCTTTCGGCTTAAATTTCATCGTCAATTTGCACCGTTTGACAAGCAAAACTTTTTTTGCGTGTGTGTGTGCTTTGAGCGTGAGAAGGACTTAATAATTTTTTACTAGTGTTAATTTTTTTTTCGGCTCGATAGGTTTCGGCCCAAACATATCAGCTTATTAACTTCATATTGCGTCGTTCGACAAGCTGCATGTGAGTGTGTTTTGAAGGTGAGAGGACCTAATAACTTTTTAATAACTTTAATTTTTTTTGAATTTTTAGGCCTTTCTTGTTATTTTTTAAATTTTTTTTCAGCTTCATAGGTTTCGTCCAATACTCTATCGGCTTAATGTCATCATATTGTTTCATTTGACCCTCGAATAAAGTTTGTGTGCTTGTGATGTGGGTGAGGGACTTGAAAATTTTTTAAAATATTTTTTCGGCCTAAAAGGTTTCTGCTACGGTATTTTCGGCTTTGTCACCTCTTGATAAATTTTCTTTCGATGCTTACTGTATTTTTTATTTTATCTTTTATTTCGATAGATCTAGTTTTGTCGACCTTTTCCATTTTTTTTTCGACGTAGCCGAAAAGTGTATCACAAGTGTATCACAAGTGCTGGCAAGCTCAGCTTCGCCTCTGAGTCATATGTTAGGACCATAAAAACAGATTCATTCAATAAAGATTTGGTGCAAATCCGATTGTCCCCTATCTTCCAAAGTTAAGCATGAAAGTAGGACATGAAACCAAACAACTCGAGCAAACTTTTTGCTTGCGAAAGCATTAAAAACCTCAAGCCGTGGGTATCATATCACCGCAAAGTGAAGCAAGGACGCACGACTCAACTTTTTATTTCAAAACTGAACAAAAAAACGGAAATTTCGCAGAGACATTTCGGTCAACATTTTTAATTCAAAACTGGACAAAAAAATTGAGTTTTCGAAAGAAAAAAGAAAAAAAGGAAACTTTTTTCAATTTTTTAAAAAAATTGTTGCACTTAATGACATTTCAAGGATATACCTCAGTGGTACAGCAGTCCGCTGCAACTTGAGAAGTCCTTGGTTGAAATCTTAGTCTCCCCTAACTGTTGAAGCTTGAAATAGTTTTTAAAGCTTTGACTTCTGGAAAAAACGAAGATTGAAAATGACTTTTGCTGTTCGATAATTTGAAATTGCAATAGTAATGAACGAGGGTAAAGCTCAGTGGTAGAGAATTCGACTGCAGAATGAAAGGTCCCTGGTATAAATCCGAGTGTCCCCTAACACATGGAAATTTCAACT